ATGCTTTGGATCGTGGCCCTGGACTTCCGCCCCCGTACGGGTGGTGGCCAGTACGGGTCTGTTTCAAGATCTGGAACTTCTTTTTGAGGTTTGCAAAAGGGAGAACAAAAGCAAACCAACTCTGCCGAGAGGCCCCTAAATAAATGAGAAGCACTGGTAATTGGCAGCCAGGGTTCGTAAGCCAGGGTTTGATTCGTCTGGAGCATGCCCTGTTTTTAACGTAATCTCTCACTTTTCTCCAGAAATTTATCCCAATTAATCCGAACGGGGTGGACACGAGCAACGAACACCATACAGCTATGTTTTTCGGACCAGCTGGACCGCCCGGGCAACTAGATGGCACAAGCAGCTTCAATGGCCTCGTTGCCATTCCCCGCTGACCTGTCGCAGCAAGAAACTTGGGTCCACGACGTGAGGCCATCATCGAGTCCTTGAAGAATCACGAGCCGGTGGAGTGCCAGGATTGGCCTGATGTCACCGCTGCTTGGCCATGTACGGATATCCGGGGGTTATACATGGGTTCCATGCAGCCTGGTGAAAAAAGGGCAACCCAACAATTGCAGCTTTCACCAATTTGGAGAAAACATTTGACTGTTCAGGGCGAGTTTATGAAGAGAGCGGCTTTTCTTTTTTGAAAACTCCAGGGCCCAAATCAGGGGGGCGCCAACTGTGTCGGGTTCGATTTTTGGCGGTTACCTTGAAATGGTTCCATCAACGTGAAGCAACATCAATTCGTGCAGGTTACGGTTGCAGTAACGCAAGATCAATATTTTGAATGTTATGTTGACCTGTATTGCCTTCCTATTGTGTTTTCGCAGATTGCAGACGACAAGCCAAATCCGATATTCAATCCATAGATGATGCCGGGCATGATCCAGCCAACGCAGCCAATCGGCTAGGCTGCGCATGACATGACTTGTTCTGCTGTTGACGGCCTTTGTTTGTATTTTAAAAGAGAGATGTGGCTCCCAGTCCGTAAACTTCAGCATCACCAGTTTTTGTCAAGGAATCGCTTTTCTGCGTATACTCAAAGTAAATGCCGCGCTGGTCCGTAGTCCGTAGACTAACTGGTCGACACCCGAAGCATCACCAGTGTTTCAACAAGGAACATGTTCTGATGGGAAAAGTCGACTCCTACCTGTGCGAAAGAAAAAATAGATGCTGCTCTGGTCAGCAATGTTCTAGTAGCGAAACACTTTTCCGTTGCTGAAAAAGTAGATGTCGTTGACTGAAAGGACCTTGCCACTTCAACTTACGTGAACATATTATTGGAGCGCCTCGATGATTCTCTCCGGCCTTACATCGGAGAAGTCTGCCAAACCTGACTGCTTAGCGTCGGTATATGCCTGGCAAGTTGCAGGGAGATAAAATCCTCTGTAATTTCCAAGTTGTTGTTTTCCCTAAGTTTGTAGCGGTACCTCAACCTGGGGAAACTAATCCCTGGAGAAAAGGGCGCGGAAAGAACCGGGTTATCAGAATCAAAAGCTTGTTTTCGGACAAGTACGACAAAACACCGGGTTAATCTGGGTTAGATGTACGGCTTGAATACGGTAGGAGTTTTCAAACCCTGACTGTTCCTTCCAAAAAAGACATATGCTAGGCTCCCCTTTGCAGCCAACATCCTGTCCATGGTGTTCACAAAAGGTGAACCAGAGCGACTTTCGCGCAACATTGGGGTCCCCCTTGACGTCGTGAAGGTTCGGGTTGATCAGCCATTGACATGCTCCCCGGCTTGTTTCAGGCCATTTTCTGCAGAGGATCCCTGAGAAGGGACCGTTACCCTTGCGCCCACACAGTGCCGAGAGGGTGAGTAGATCATTTTTTTGAAGGAGACCTCCTGTCGGGTGCCATGCTGTTCAAAATCAATCCCAAATCCTCATGCCAGATGGCAGTGTTTTATCCCTTGTTGTAGTCGTGTCCCACTGCCGGGCTGGGACCTGATAAGCCCACCCATGTGGAACCAGCGGGGGCGGCATGCTTGTGGAAGTCTTGGTTTCAGGCTCTGATGCCAATGGACCTGGTGGGTGGGTTGAAAGGGAAACCAAAAAACAAGCCGAAGCATGCCGACGCCATGTTGGGGCTGCAAATCGCTCTTTTGATACGTGCCCATTTAGACTCAGAAGTTCTATGGATCTCCAAAGAAACCGCAGAAACCGCTCTTTGTGCATTGGAAGCGCGCCAACGGGAGGGCGATGTTTTCACGAAACGCGAGGTGATCTTCGTGCAAGTCTGCGACTTCTCCAGGATCTGCTCGGTGCTGCCGCCCACTCTGACGGTGGAGGTCTTGGACAAGGCGAGAGAGAGACCCCGGATGAATGAACCCGTCGCATTCAGAAGGGGGTTGCCCCTCAAAAAGTGATGAGTCCCTTCTAAACCCATAAACCTAGTGACACCCCGTCTTTCTAGGCTGAGGTTGACCTGGGGGACGAGCAAATGAGCAGGAAATAGCTATCTATTTTACACAAAGCAACAAGCAATCGAGACAGTAGGTTCCATGCGCCCGCATGTAATTAGGTGGGGACTGCTGCCCACAGGCCACTTGCGAGAGGTTTCCCTATGAAGATTCACTGAAATGCATGTGTCGCAATATGGAATTGATACATTGTAACCCCTGTTGTTGTGGTTGGATATATTTCAAGTGCTCGTTCTGAGCTTGTCCTGTGCCAGAGACATGGCCGCACTGCGCCTTGGTTGTGCTGAGAGCCGTTAACACAGAGCCAGTGCATGGCTTGCTTATGACATAATGACAAAGCAATAGGACAAGGAAGACGAGAAAGGGAAAAGGGGAAAAAGAAGAGGGAGAGGGAACATGCTAAGCGGCAAGCAGAGAGGGCAACGGGAGGGAAAGGAAAATGGAAACACAGAGAATATGACGTGATGAGGAGGAAGAGACAGGGAAAGGAAAAGAGCGCGCAGTGTGCAGAAGGGCCTTGCAGGTAGATCCAGGCACGGCCCAGAGGAAGGTTTGTTTATGATGTTTTCACAGAGGATGATTCTAGGAAGATGTTTGGATAGTTTTGAGGAAAACACAAACAATGTTTTTTTTGAAGAACATGTTTCAATATGTCCAATCTGTGGCTGGCTAAAAAGGTCATAAGCCTTATGTTTAATTTGGGATTGCTTGGGCTATGATCCTTACAGAGGGGATCCAACTGATGGTCCGTTTCACCCTGAGAGTGTGAGTGAATGATAGCTGTAAGAAATGCCTGGTTGGAAGACAACAGCCTCAGACGTGTCTCCCTGGGGTTTAAGTCCAAGGGGTGGCTGCTGGGGGCGCACGAAACACCGCGAGGTGTTTCAGGAGTTGGACCGCTTGAGCGACCTACTGAAGGTGCACAAGGCCGTCAGCTTCCCTTGGATGGTGGTGCCAAAGCGGGTCGGTTTTCTGGGTTCTGATGGTTTGATGGTTTTTCGGATGCTCACATGATTGGGCTAAGCTGGAACCCGCGAGTTTTAGGAGCAAGGATTGGTTGGAGGGGCTCCTGGTAAGTTTTCGTGTGGGCTGCTGTGTTGGTGAGGATTCGCGGCGCACCACCTTGAAACCAAGGAAGCCAGGTATTTGTGCAGGATTTTGTCCATCCACAGTATGTTTTCCATGGCTGGCTGTAGGCACGGGGGATCAGATTGGTGCCGTACACAGCCAACATTGAGATGAAGCCTGAGCAATGGAAACCATAGTCCGCAAAGGCTGTGGCACAATGGCAGCGCGCCCTGGGCTTCACCGGGGAGGTTGCAGGTTCAAGTCCTGCTAGCCTTATGGAAGTTTAATTTGATGAACAAGACACCACCACTAAGATTTAGTTGGCAGCTTCCCCATCAAATGACAATGACCATGACCCACAGCTAGCATGACTCTGATCAGGGCACATATCAATCGAGGACTCCGTTGAAGACGCCTTTGGATGTCGTCTTGTTTAACATCGATCAAGCACTGAACGCCAACACTACTTGACAGACAAAGACATGCATTGTATGTATATTATGTGTTGCATGTTGGCTTGGTACAGTAGAACACAAATGGGTTTGCCCTTCTGCTCGACGGTGGCCAATACTTCGGGCTAATTGATCACCTGATCCATAACTGATCACCGTCTTGAACTCGTGGGCTTTTGTTCGTTGGGTTGGGACCGTTAGACCTTTCGGCTTTTGGGCTACCTGAAGCATATTCACGGGACAAAGCCACCAGATGCCCATTGGCTAGGTGGAGACGGTGGGGGATGTGTACATGGCCGTGTCGGGCTGTCCGCAGGAAATCGCCGTGTGACAGCATGGCTCGACATTGTTGCCGAATGCTTTTTTTTTTTGCGCTTTTTGGAACATACAAAAAAGCCCCTTTTCAATGTTGCACTTGTGCACGGAATCAGCCCAGCCTAATGCCAATACCATTCTACAGCAAACGTTTGACCATATCTGCTGGCCGGCTGAGACAGTGCCATAACGACCTACGCATGGTAGGGTTGCCAAACCCAACTTCTTAACTCCCCTTCCAAGAAACCACGTCGGCGTCAGAATAAAACCGAAGGCAACTGCAAGTGTGTGAATTGAGTAAAGATTGCTTGATCAACAGGGCTCCGAAAAGACTAAAAGATACGAAACATGTTGCTTTTTCAACACCAAGATAAGTTGGAACACCACCATTTACAAGTTGCAATGCTCAGGTGTTGCATCCGGATCCCGGATCGATCAACTCCTGGGTTCAAAGGCCGTGGAGAAAGGCTCAGAGAGAGGTTGTCTCTATTGCTCTCTGATGTGAAATCCAATGCGCCCAAAACCCCCATCGTCGGTGGTTCTACGTGGATTGATTGTGACACTAGGCCTGTAGAAAAACTGTATAACCATTTTGACAGAGCCAAACGTCAATATAGGGAGTTGCGAAATGGATATGCGTTCCAATTTGTTCGGTCTTGGTCTCATGTCCCGGCGTGAGTCATTTCTAAATCAAGGGCTTGCCCACGATGAATCCTTTTATGGGAGGTGCTGAATTTGGCTCATGGGTTCATCATGTGTATCTAGTGTGTTTCTTTATTGTCCTTCGCGTGCCACGCCTGTTGGTTGCCCCAGCAAAGAGGCAAAAGCCATGTGGCAAATGGATATGTGTTTGACATCCCTCCCAGGATCCTCAGAATGGCTTGGAAGGGCAGGTTGCAGCCAAATGTCTCGCCCCGACATTCAAGTATCACTTGAGCAAATCACCAGTGTCTATGTTGACACTTTGCATGAGGCATGCATGAAGTTTGGATGGCGACATGCTTCGCCCTGGATGTGTCCGTTGCCTTCCTCTTAGCCGGGAATCCAGCGATGAATGACCCCATACGCACAAGTGGGTCGCTCTAGCGAAGGGTAGGAAGGTCGCAAGTTGCTTTGGTTTTTGGAATGTTAAAGGGGCAAGCAGAAACTCTGAGACGCCCAACAGAAAGATGCAGGGTTCTTGTTAACGCTTGTTCAGCAACATGAAGGTGTACCAAGGTTTAGACATGTGACCAATGCAACCTGGGTTTGTTCTGTTCCAGAGGTTACCTTATGCCACTTTTCCGGGAATGGAGGCAAGCCCCACTACACGTTCCGTGCTTGGGGGTCCCCTTCCCCAGACCTCCCGTGCCGCCCTGTTTGCTCCTTTTTACCTGGAGGGGGTTCAAGTGGCAACGAAAGATCGATGACCGCATTCCTCCACCTGAGCCCTGGAATGATGATTCCCCTACTTCCAAGAAACGTTATCCAGGTCCCCAGCACTGCCCTTTTACCAACTATTTTGGGGGAGGGTTCCCCTGCTCAAATAGGCAAATATATATATATATATACACATATATTTAAAACACATGTTACCAACTTATTCTAAGCTCCAAGACTGGAGGACCTAGTTCACTTTGGTTGAACATACAGATGATTCCGCGGGTTTCAGTTTGGTTCCTTTCCCTTTGCCAGAACCTAGTTCTGGTTTCGTGATGGTTCAGTGCCTTGCGTCCGGTACGGACAATTCCGGCGGCCGGGCTTCAGCTCTGAGGCCAACCACGCGGATGTGGCGGCCCACTTTGCCCTAGCAGCGCAGTCCAGCATGATCAGGCGAGGCTTTGCGCGCGGCAAAGCCAAGGGTTTTTCGGGGTTGAGTCCGATTCCCCATTCTGTTGAACCATCGTTCTTTTCAAAAACCGGATCCATTTTCCCCTGGGCTTCTGGAGGTTTTCTAGAAAGAAGGATTCCTGGAAAGGATGGGGAAGGTAGGCCTAGAGGTATGTGTCAACATCGGGCACCTCGAAAACTAGGTGTGTGTGTGTGTGTGTTTCCTTTTGGTTTCCCTTAAAATCAACCTGAAACAGGGTACCCTCGGAAAAAGAGAAAGAACAACAAACACTCAATTATCAAGTAGGCAGGTTGGATAGACGAAGACATAGTTTTTGACAGTTGCGAGATTCATATCTGCAGGAAGTTTGAATTTTAGTGTTCTGTCCAACATCTTAGGGATGCCACCCACGACTTTGGCATACGAATTCGACTTTTTCATTTTCGCCTTTGGGTGGATGGATCCACACACCGCTTCCAGTAAAAACAAAGTAGCAGGGCACTGTTGCTTCTCAGAGTTTTCAGGAGGTTGCTGACATTTAAGTATAGGGTTGGCGTCCAGCCTTTATTTGTTTGTGCCTAGCTTCTTGTGTTTTGCATGTTTGTCGAAACCACCAGCTAGCTATCTCGTAGAGGTTTGTCTCCAACTGGGTGGAACCCCAAATGGTGCGCTGACAACTCTCATGATCCAAGTTGCTGCGCTGAGCACAACAAATCCGCATGGTCCAAGCTTTGCGATGAGCAGACTTGGCTTTGGTTGACCGGCCTGGACGAAACGAGGCGAAACAACTGGGCGGCATGTCAATGTGGGTTATGCGCAAGACGAGTGGACCAAAAACTGGTTATTTCCATTTGGCCCCCTTTAACATCATCCCTGATGCGCACCAGGGACAAGTCGATACTGGCCGCGGCGACAGGATTAGGGTCCAAACCTTTCCGCCCAGCCTAGATCCCCAGTGCCTTTTTTCCCTTTTGCTGGAGTAGGTTGCTTCCCTTTGTAGATCGAACGCGCCAAGGAGAGGGTGCCCATGTTCCTGGTTTGCGGAATATGTCCTTTTTGTTAATACACAAGACCCCAAACCCTAAATCCGAAACCCGGATGGCTAAACCCCAACAAAACCTGCAAGTCCATTGCTCTCCCCGATGCGTCACAAGTCTCTCAGCGAGTCGCTCCCTTCCAGCAGGATGCGCGCCCGGGACCTGGCGCCGCAGGGCGTCAAGGGCCGGCGCCTCTCGATGGTGCTGTCGGACCAGAACGTAGCGCTTCGGCCTGTGCGGGGGCGGGGGGGCCTGTGAGGTATCCAAGAAATTTGGAGTTTACCCCAGTGATTCCTCTTCCTTGTTCACGTATATAAGTAACCAATGGAATCACCGTTTAAAAGCCAAGGGGCAAGTGGCGAAGGGTACTTACAATTTCAGATAACTGGAATCCACTGCGTGTGTGTGGTGAGTCTATGCTATTGTGCGCTGTTTTGGAAGTCTTCGCAAAATCCCTACCCATGCCCGTTTCATTTCACTCAGGCTTTGCCATCCCCACTTCCTTACATATGGAATTGGGGGAGGGGGGTGACCCCCAGGACATTTATGGTTCCATTTCCCTTCCATGGGAAGATTAGATAAATGGAATTGGGGACCCCCCACCCCCCTCCCCCTTATGGTAGGGGGGATGCTTTGCCGCTTGGCTGGCTTGGGTAATCTGACGTGGATTGGTTGCCTTTTATTTAGTTGTGTGGCAGGCGCTGAAGTGCCACATGGAGGAAGTCGGCCTCCTTTCTGGGAAGCTTAGGGCATGATAGTTGACTCACTGTGTTGGGAGCGCATTCTCAAGCTTTTCGAACTGGAATTGAACTTGGTATTTGTGTCTCATTTACATGAAGCAGGCGCCAAAACCTCAAGCCAACAGGCGGCAAGCTAAAAACATGCAGAAATGACTGGGTTCTGGCCTGCACCAGCCCAGCGCTTCTTTTTAGAATCCTACTTTAAGGGGAAGCTTGGGTGAATCCACCTGGCCGCTTGAATGGAGGTGTGGCCCCCCGCCAAAGTGAAGCATCCACTCTAAACAACTGTATTCATCAAGCAGACGTTGCAACTTGGAGGCTTCCGCCATTGCAGTGATCATGATTCCGATGATACTAGTACTAGTGCTACTAGAACTAGTACTGCTACCACTCCTCCTACTACTACTACTACTACTACTACTACTACTACCACTCCCGCTACTGCAACTGCTACTGCTTCTGCTACTACTACTACTGCTACTACAGTTGCGGCTGCTACCACTATCTACCACTACTACAACAACTACAACTCTTACTACTACTACTACTACTACTACTACTACTACTACTACTACTACTACTACTGCTGCTGCTGCTGCTGCTGCTGCTGCTGCTGCTACTTCTACTTCTGCTTCCACTTCCACCACCACCACCACCACCACCGCCACTACCACCACTACTACTACTACTACTGCTACTACCTGCACGTTCACAACTACTATGCTCTTGCATTGTCATCATCATCATCAGCAGCAGCATCATTCAGCAGCAGCAGCATCATCAGCATCACTATCACCAACATCATTACCATCATCATCATCATCATCATCATCATCATCATCCTCATCCTCATCCTCATCCTCATCCTCATCCTCATCCTCATCACCATGGTCATCACCACCATCATCGTCATTATCGTCATCCTCCTCCTCATCACGATCAGTATGGTCGTCGCCGTCGTCATCCTCCTCCTCCTCCTTCTCCTCCTTCTCCTCCTCCTCCTCCTCCTTAACATCATCACAATCATTCATCATCGTCGTCATCATCATCGTCGTCATCATCATCATCATCGTCATCGTCTCAGCCTGCGGGTTTCATCAACTGACTTTTTTCTTGGCCGCCATAGGGGCAGACTGCCCTGCAGGAACTACGCATCCGCATCGGCTTGAACAGCGGCCCTATCCGCGCCGGTGGCCTGGTTGGACCCAGCGCCCAACGCGGCTCCTAAGGGATTCCCACGCTTCGAACAAGTTCAACACATGCCATGTGTGAAAATAGGGGGTCTGCCTGCAAATGTCGCGGTTTTTCTCTTTGGTTTCCTTTTAAACCAACCTGAAAAGGGTCAAACAACACAGTACCGGGCGCAAATGTAAGTATTCTAAGTAATTAACCATCCTGGTTGCCAATCACGACGTGTTAGTGCGAGAGGCTTCCTTTTTCGGCGATGCTTCGCGAATAATTCTTCGGGATTGCCTTGGATTTATATTTTCATTTGAAGCCGTTTCATCTAGAACAAAGTGAGCAGCGTGTGAGTTTGCTTCTTAAGCTCTGTTCCGGTTATCAACAAGTTGAATGCTCCGGGTTGACTCCGTCGTGGGAGCTTCAAGACTCTTTCGTCATGTCAATCGCCCAATTGTTGAACCGGTTAGAAGTGCTGGCTTTTTCTGAGTGCGCTGAATGAGCAAACCCGGACCCGGGCATTTGAACTGGCAAACGGATAAGGGGGTTCAGATTGGGTCAGGGTCTTTGGATGCTGCGGCTTCATGTGGCTTCAGCTTTCCGAAGCGAGACACCGATGTCAGCCCGGATAGTTGGTTTCTCCATAGCTGCATTGTTCGCAAGCTCACCTGGATCAACTTGCTTTGGGGTATGAGAACCCGCATCAATGGGCGATGCGGATAGCATGGGATGGCGGCCTTGTCACCACCTGAAGGTCTGCTATGTGTGCGGTGCTTCCAGTTTATCACGGTTTGCCCTAGTTGCAGTACCCTTTTACCCTTTTTGGGGGAGGGTTCCCCTACTAAAATAGACTACAGACAAAAAAGAGCACCCTTATTCCAACCTCTCCACTGGAGGACCTAGGCATGAATCAATGAATCACCAAGCTCGCTGAGTCTGGGGATTCGGCCATCTTGCCGCTCGATCCTCCGGTTTTTTATTTAGAGGATCTGCATATCGCCGAGGACTGCGCGCCATGATTTTTCTTCAGGTGGTTTGCGGGCCCGGAATGGGGAGTAGGGGGGGCTCCGCTTTGGCCAGGATTTCAAGGGCTGGAAACGGTGGTGGGTTGAGGTGTCGGAATAGAGGCCCTGTTTTGGGATTCGTTTCCGGGTGATGTTGTGTCGCGTTTCAAGGGAGAGAGGGGTCCACCATTGGCATGATCCCCAAAATGACAGTGGGTCAAGCCCACACTGTGGATGGACAAAGTCCTGCACCAGTTGGGATAGAGGTGACCCTTTGAAGACTGGGTTAATCCACGGACCCACCAGTGCGCGATTCTATCCATCAACATCTCAGGTGTGGTGGGGTTGGACAAGCCCCGGTACAAGCTCTTCGGGGATACCGTCAACACGGCCAGCCGAATGGAGAGTACTTCGGAGCCAGGACAGTGGCAACATCTTTGAATTCGTAGAATTGTGGTAGTTTCTGACGGGTTGATTCCAACCATGCTTCTTCCAACCGGATCCGTTTCCCCAGGCTTTTGGGCGGTGTAGAAAGAAGGATGCCTGGAAAGAATGGAAATGGAAGGTGCCCCTAGAAGTTTAGAGCAACATGAAGTTCGTGCTCCAGGGAAAATCACAGACACGCATGTCAAGGCTGTTAAGTTGTGGGGAACATGCCAGCGGCGTACCAACCAAGCCTTGAGATGGCAGTTGTCCTCTTGCGTCGTGGTTCAATGTGGGCATGTACAAAGCTAGTCAAAGCCACATATACTGGTTGTCCTTTTGTTTTGCCTGCAGACCAGGGGACACCGGGTTCCCTCAAACAACACACACACACATAGGATATGGAGTCGGCAGACCTTGGGGTTTGGGGTATTGTGACTCGGCCAAGCCTTCTGGGAGCTTGAGCCAAGTTTTGTAACAGCCGTACCCAACCGAATGGGAACCAAAAGGAGGAGGCTTTTTCACCGGAGGTTAAAACACGGGTCGGTCCGGCCCTGAGGTGGCCGTGTTTACTCCGCGAAGACTTGGCAATGGGATCAACGCTGCTTGTCGACCCCAAATGAAAAGGCAAGATTGAATGGATCGGATTACATAGACAGGTTCATTCATACAGAAAGCGTGATAAGAGCGATACACAGCGAAATATAGCTTTCGAGTTCTGGCAAAGAGACCATGCTGAAAGCTGCATTTTGCCGCGGGTTTCATTTGTTGTGCGGCCATCAGACATTAATGGCTATTGGGCAAGTCCTCGGAACCCAGATGCGGATGTGTGGTTCTTGAGGGTACCCTTTTCACCATGGTCCAAAGGGAAACCCATTGACAAGCAACCTTTGTTGGGTCCCTCTATTTTGAGACATACCCAGTGGACTCCTGGCCAGCAACCGAACCATTTCACAGAGGCGCTCGGGCTGGTCAGAACTAGAGGGATGCTTTGGAGATGGACACTCTTGGAGAAAACTAACACTGTCTCTGTTGGTGGGGGGGGGGGAGACACTTTTAAAGCAGACCCAACATGCTTTGCCTCCATTTGGAGCAAACTAATTCGCTGGCTCCCTTCTGAGACGCTCTCTACTTCCGCCATTTGAGCTTGGCTTTGCCCTGGCTCGATCTCAGAGCTAGGACACACCCAGATGACGGAGGCAACCCGTGCCCGGCTCAGCGATATCTTTCACGCAGAGGCCGGGGAGGGCTTGTACTTCAGACCCCTCAAACAGGTTCAACAGGTTACCGGGCTTCGATCGCAAAGGGCACTCATGGTTGCATCCAAAAGGAACCCATGTGATACAATCCGTTGAACGGGTTACCCAAGTACTGGACAACTGCAAGTGCTGACGCGCATTTGTGAAGTGTCCTCATGCCAGCATTCCTCAGGATATCTTGCCTTTTTTAGTTGCCGCTGTGAATCATTGGCCCCACGACGTTTTTGCAGCGTGCAACAGGGACATTTCTGCTAGGTACCGAGATCGTGCTATCAACAGCACATTCTGCCAGCATCTCAACATCGGACACGCGTTTGAGCTTTGAAATCAAGGCGTATGAAAGTTGGCCCCGCGTGGCAAGCGAGTTCCAGCGAGTCAAGCTTGGCCGCGAGGGGGAACTGGCATGCTGGTTCAGCATGAAAGTGGTAGTCAAAATCCAGTTGCAGGCCACAGTGTAGGTGACGCCTTATTTTGTTCTCAAACAAACCAAAGCGGATTTTGCAGCGGAAATAAATTGCGCATTGGATCCCACCTGCATGATATCCAACAGAGCAACGCTATTCGTCAGCGATCTGATCAGTTGTTTCGTGATTCCACTCGTCCAACTTTATGTCTCGGATGCTTCCCACTCCCCTTTGAAAGCCGACACGCGACAAAAGTGAACACAGGGCCACAAGGTTCTTCCATTTTGCTTGGGATGGACTGGGAAGGGCGCAGTGCGCGAAATTTCAGCGTGAGAGAAGAGATGATTGCTGAGACGCGCATTTCCAGAGTTACCAGTCGTTCCCACCGCATGTGTGGCTTGGTCAAAAGCCAAAATATCCTTCTACTTGAGTTTGGCATGGATAGTCATGCACCCCTTTCCCGGCAAGTACCAACAGGTACCGGTCAGGATTCCCTTTTGAGGCAACCAAGCGGAAATTCCTCAAAAGGGACCCCTAAACAGGGTTGCAAGCATGGATCTCTCAGCAGATGTCCATTTGACCATGGCCCAGGCTTGTGGCAATGTGTGTTTCCGGATCTCTTTCCGTTATGCCAAGGGCATACCATGAAGAGGGAGACAACGTAAACATGGGAAGGCGAATGCCGATTTATCACAAAAACGGTGGGATTGTTTCAGGGTACCCTTGGTGTTTGTTCAGGATCTTCGGAACCAAAGGGCAGCCTACTTGTTTTTCTTCTTCTTGGAACGAACACATCTTTCCAGGGGTACCTTCTCCGGATTCTTTCCAGGGATCCTTCTTTCTAGAAAACATCCGGAAAACCAGGGAAAACGGCTGTTTTTTTACGGCGTTTTTTTTTTTTTTTTTTTTTTTTTAAGAACGATGGTTGAAAAGAATGGGGAATCAGCCCTAGAATCTTGGGGATCTTTCGTTCCCCGCCAAATTTGCCGGTCCGGCCATGTGTGCCAGGAGCGTGGAGAGGTGCAAGTCAAGGGCAAAGGCTCTTTGAGGAGTCCGCTCAAAGCGAATCGACCTGAAATGATCTTTAATGTTAACCCCGGATGAATAAATTTGGGTGTCCCCTTTTAGTGGGGATTTATACCACTTTTGGAGGGAACACCCCCCCAATAATGGGACGGGTTTAGTAATCCTGGGTCAACATCAAGTGTTCCCCTTTGTTGGCCCATTTTTTAGTAGAGGTCCCAAAAGGGGAACCTTTGAGTTCCAGGTCCTTTGGGCAACTGAGTCTGGGCTTTCCTACATGGGATCCTTCTTGCTGGTTCGATAGGGGAGTGAGAAATGGAATGACCCCAATAAAACCCATGGCCTATGGTTTCCTTCGGGCGAATCCCCGTCCGGTTCATTTCCAACACCCTGGATGATTGTTCCCTACCGAGCAGCAGCAAGTCTTTTCAAGCACAAAACATGCAAGAGCAAAAGGCAGGGATCCCTATGTTCAAAAAACGTCTGGGATGCGTCTGTTCAAAATTAGAAGCCAAGAAATGTCGCTGCTTTTGCAAAGGACTTGGGAATCACCCCCTTGGGGTTCATCCAACGGTTCAAAGGGGCCATTCCCCCTGCAAATTTCGATTGATCTGACTTGTTTGGGTGATTCCTTTTTTGAGTATGGCCTTGATTATATATCCTTGCGTGCTTCAAAAGGAAACGAGAGGAACCGCTGCCATGTTGGGGGTTATCCCAATTTTGAGGCAGCACCAGTTTTTCCCAAAAGCAAGGAACACTAAGCATAGATAAAATGCGTCCATATCAATATGTTTGTCAAAGTCATTGATTGCAGTGGACCTCATCCAGCCCCTAGCCGGCATTTGTTGCCGTTTTGTTTCTATCGTGTCAATGATGATTTTACTCAAGGTATGTTTGTTTTGCAAGTTGTAGTCGGAACTTGTACTTGCAAGTTCAGCCTTTCAAATGTAATTTGGCTGTGGGTCAAAACCAATGCTACCATTTTGGGGTAGGTGCATCACCCCTTTTAGCCTATTTTAGTGGGGATTGGGATGTTTACTGGGGGTACGGGAATTTGACCCATGGCCATATGGTTCCCACAAGGCTTCATTCCAGCTGATAAGGGGAAACTGGCTGGCATGGAGATGGATGACAGGTGCCAAGAGCCAGCTGGGTGCTAAATGACCCTCGACTAAAAGTCCATGCTTGAGAACACCACAACGGGGTGCATTTGTTGGTATTATTCCTTCCTCACTGTCAAAGGCGGAGTTTTTGCCAATGCCTTCATGCTGAAGCCACTGCTTCCCCAAGGAAAACATTTTGGGATTTGGCTTCTGTCGCTAGGACATTCTATCTTCAGGGCTACAGCATGATAGACTCGGACACTGCAAGAGCGTCGGAGGACCTTGCAGAAGAAAGCGAGTTTACTGGGAGTCGAAAAAGCAAGGGCAAATGACGGCTGAATATGTGTTTTGGTGTTCGCGCGCCAGTGTGTGGGTGCGTGAGTGGGTGAGCAGATGTCATCGCCTGAGTCACTGTGGAAAACCGTGACCGCCAGTTGCAGTGGCCGCTGAGACTTACATGTTAAGGATAGACGTCACAGACATTTCCCAGACATGCGTTACTGGTCCAGTTTCTTTCAATAGTCCAGTTTCCTTGCGTGCAGCCTCTTCCGGAATATTTCCATGCACTCCTAAGAACACATGAGCGACTGCCTTTATTTGCAGAGGACTACCGTAAAGGCCGTGCGGACACACAGTGTGGTTAACATACAAACGGCGTAGGAACACCCCAAGACGAGGTAGGACCATAACGATATCACAAACACGTGCGCGGTTGGAAAACGCGGTCAATGAGCCTAAACGGGTGCAGGGGTGGAGAACGAGGCAGCATTCAACTATACAGCAAATGACTGCTGTAGCTCACATGACACTGAATGTTGCATTCGGTCCCCATCCGCTTACAGACGCCGAGCCACCTCTTTGCAGCAGGCCACTCGATTCACTAGGTGAGCAGTTCAACCTCTATAGCATTTGACTTTGGCGTGAGATACACATAGTCTACCATGTTGTAGTATGATCTGGCGCCAACAGAAGGGATGTTTGGAAGGTGCTGGAATGGATGTTTTGATGGATGTTGGGATGGCTTTTTAGATGTGTCGAGATGTGCTTGGCCAAGATCCGACTGATGATCTACAGGATCGGTTGCCCAGGTCGGGCCAACATCCTAAGATGTGGCCTCCAGTTGGCCCAGATCTGGGGCCACATGTCCACGGTGTTGCACGCAATCAGCGAGTAGGTATGTGGCAGACGACTGTCCTGGTGTTTATTTGGAGGGTGTAAAGTGAACAACATCTCTAACCCCATGCTAGTCGGCTTGGGGTTTCTCAATGTTGGGTTCCCATTATGCTGGAAGCATATTTGAGCATTTCGAAGGATTGACCTTTGCTTTGCTCTTGAGCTTAAGTAAACATGTGTGGGCCTCTACTTTAGGGGCTACCCTTCATTTGTTTACGAGAAGAGGCAGCCAATGATAAAGTTGAAGCCGCTTGCTTCGTATGGCTCTACGCAGCTTCCCCTTCCTGCGATTCACCAAAGTCACGCGGGCTAGGATTGCAACCACCTGCGGGTTGGCTGGCTCTCCCTTCGACAGTGGCTGTTCATCTATTTGTCAGTTGCAGATGTCAATCCGAGTCATGATTGGGGTATTCAGCGAATCTCAGGCAACCCCCCAGCTGCGTCACTTCCATACCTGAAGCCTGATCTTTAGCGGAGGGCACGCATGTATGCGCGAGGGAGATATATTCACTTCTCATTCTGCGATAACCTCCAGGTGGCAAGACATCCAACCAGTCCAACGAGGCTTGCATTGGAATTGTCCCGTTGCCAGTTTAGAAGGGCCAAAACGAACCTATGGCGACGCAGGAGTCTGTGACCATCATGGTAGTGCAGAAGGCCTGTCTGCGAATTTACGCCTGAAATCGTTGCCATCAGTAGTGGCAAGAGAAGATGATAAAACTCCATGGTGGAAGAGAGATGCACTTAGGGAGAGAGAGGGAGAACAGCATGCTCTGGAGTGCATTCGATTTCCTGCTCCAAACTTAATGGTATGCTTCATCATTCAGTTGTCCGAGTTGTGCCGTGGTAGCCTGGGATGCATGTTGACGTCACCTAGTCAATCGAACATGCTCTTCCTGCAGATTGTCATCGGGAAACTTGCAGACAGGTGATGGGCGTGCAGCAAGTAGCACTGTTGCTCGAGGGGTGCATCACTTTGGGATAGACTTGCTGTAAGATGCTCCGGTTGATGGCCCAGACTTGCTGTTGGGCCTCCATTGCATCGCTCAAGCAGAAATCACATCTGTTCCCATGGGCGAGTTTCTGTCTAAGCTAGACCCAATTGTTCCGCCCTAGCAGTGCTTTTCTGGTACGAAGTGCTAGCGAAGCGCAAGCTGTTCCCAGCTTCCGCTGCGGCCAAGCTGACTGAATTGCTGCAGCAAGAGCTTGTGTTTGGCACCCGATGGTCCTCATGCTCTTGCTGGCTGCATGCCATCAAAACAAGCCAGATAATGTGACAATTCTGAAGCAGTCCTTAAGACTCCACAGCACTTCTTTGGGAATCGACATCCAAGAATGGTTCCCTCAAATTTGAAGCGAGGTTCCTCTAAATATGGGTCAAAATAGGGGGACCCCCAAAATGGCGGTTGTCCTTTTGATTTCCCTTTTGAACCAGCCTCAAAAAGGTACCCTTAAAAGTCAACCGTCATATTTTGGTTTCCAGATCCATGCCAGGCGCGATGCGATCACTCCCCGGACAGCGTCTTTGTCCCAGGAGTGTGTCCGCCCTGTGTAGTGAGCGCTAGGCGGTACCTGTCTGGGGATGGCAAGCGCCTAAATAAACCTTTCCTACTCCTTTCGCATGTGGCTGTGGGTCAAAACCAATGGTACCATTTTGGGGTAGGCGCACCACCAATTTTAGTCTATTTTGGTTGGGATTGGGATGTTTTGTGGGGGTACGAGATTTTGACCCACAGCCATGTGGGTAGAACAGGAACAAAAGTTGAGGAATTGGCTTGAGCTTCAACCAAAGTTCGCCCCTGAATCAGGTTTGCTTTTTGCGTTGCCACTAAAGACTAGCATTTTGCCGAGCGTTCAAAACTGACACGATATCCGCCCGTGGCGTTTGATGAATCTGCTGTGAAGTTTAGGTTTGAGGCGAAAGCTGCAAAAGCAGGTGTCCATAGTCAGGAATCGCCCAAGCAAACGGATTTCATTTGTTTTCTTCTCATCCTCCGGCAAACCCAGAAAGCCCAGCAAAATTCAACAAAAAAGCCCATCATCAATTTTCCCAAGAGAATGACCCCCCCCCAACATTTGGAGATCCCTCGCTGATTTTCCCGCGGCAGGAAAGGGGCGGCTGCGCCGCGCGGCGGGCGTCCTGCAGGAGTTAGTCGCAGTGATGCCGGACACCAGCCAGGCCCATGGGGAGATTTGATGGGGAAATGCAGGTAACTTGCTTGCCGAAGAAGGGTGAGTTGTTCGTTTCTTTCGGTGATTGTTTGCCACTTTTTTCCGTTATTGCTTTCCACTCTCATTTTCCAGCAAGCAAGCAATGCGAACACCCAAAGATGGGGACTAGGTCCCCCAGCTAGGTGCCCTTTCTCACCCCTTTGTTGGTTGGGAGGGTTCCCCTACTAAAATCGACGTCCTGAAAAAAGTTGGTACCAACTCATTCAAACCTCTTGTCCTGGCAAGGACGCAGCAGATTTGGATGATTTCCGATCGCTGTTAAGACTCAATTAGAATTCACCCAGGTTGGGGCTTCGTTTTGCTACTGTGGTGCAAATCCTTGCTGGGCACCCTTGTATGTTTTGGGGGATTGGGTACTTGCCAGGGTATCCTTTTGTTCGAGGGTGCCGTTTTCGAGTACCCTTTTTGGGCGCCTTTTTGGCGGTGTTTTTTTTCTTTTGTTGGATACCCTTTTCAATTTTCTGGGGTGTCTTTGCTTGGGTGCCTGTTTTTGTTGGGACCCCGTTTTAAGGTGCTTCAAAGCCATTTGGGTCTTAAGTTGCGCTGCAGATTACTCAATTGAGTTCCTCTACCGTGTATCCCCACGGCACATGAAATCCACGAAGGCATTTTATGGGCTCCCGATTTGACACGTGGAGGTTCCTTTCTTCGTGCTGGTCCTCTTTGGGGCTGCACTCTTCAGCCGTGTTTTTCACCACCCCCATCGCCCCTTGCCAACTCTGGGGAAGCGCCTGGAATCAAGCGGACTTCCTCCTTTTTTGCAGTGTTGTTGAGGAGGTGCGACATGTTTCAGGCAACGAGCCAACCCAATCTGGTCTTGTTTTCCCCATTGATTTTTGGTTCCCATAGCAACACCTGGGAGTGCAACTGGGCACCTCAAGTGGTTTCTGTTGGCTTACTCTTGCATGAGGGAACCTCAAAATGGGGTGCCATCTTCTCTTTGAGACAAACCAAAGCTGGCGCGCCGGCTGGCAGCGCAGTGACAGGGTCCAGGAAGACGCCCACTGGGCCAAGAACTACTCCTGGGGCGTGTTGCCGGCTGGCGTCAAAGACCGCGCTCCTTTTCTCGGCGCGGACCCATTCAATTTGAGACGTCTCTTCAAATCGAGGACCTCAAAGATTTCTGTAGAACCGCAACTTAGGACTTAGGACTTATGCCCAATGACTGCATTTACCACTCTGGCAGGTATCCAAGGCAACCACCTTTTGAATTGTAGCTGGATTTGCTCGGTTACCTACTGTAGTGGCGAACCGCCTGGGTTTTTATTAGGGCAAAAAAAAGCATCCTGCCATGTTTGTTTCGGCCAGTGTCTGCACAAAGCGAACCGGAGGTGATCCGGTAACGGCCCAGATTGGAATCCCAGGTTTCAGGTAAGCTCAAGTGGTATCCCCCAGCTTCCGGAACCCTCCCCGAAAGCTGCTGAGACAGACTCCCCAAACCGCGCCTATCTGGGCCAAAACCCGCTCGGCTTTCAGCGGCAAAACTGGGAGGACATCATGAGCTTTCGGACGACCTTGACCAACAAGTCCTTCCGATGGCCACTCGGACGTGGGCATCTCATGCGGTCGATGGCCCCGAGGGTCAATGGCCCCGACTGGCGAAAAACATGTGCCATTTGTCCAACCCAAATGTCTAGCACCACTGCTACACAGCACTCCAGTGGTGTCCTGTTTGTTGCCGATTGTTTTGTGTTTTGTTTCTTTCTTGCCCCTTGTTCTTTTTTTTGGGGGGTCTTGCTGAAAGGAAGTACCTGGAAAAAGGTGCCCTTTGAGTGCCTGAGGCCTGGCACACGATGCTGAAAGTTACATCCAGCACATTGGCCGCCCAGTCAGAAACTAGCAGTGAGATAATCAAGCTTCCTCCCAGCATGTTGTAGCATGTTATTATAGGAACTCGAACACGTCGCGCGTGTTTGGTACAAGGTCCGTACAGCTTCATTTGCCCTCTCACTCGTTGTCGCCCAGTGGCAAGCCTAAATTATCCTTGTTGTCAGCCAAAGTGAGCCGCCTTCAAGTTTTCGGCTATCCCGTTCTCTAGAGGCTCTCATAGGCCCTACGATCCTGAACGGTGGTGATGGTTCTTTGCAAGGTGTGTGCGCGTGTGTTTGTGTTTGTTTGTTTGTTTGTTTGTTTGTTTGTGTGTGTGTTTGTGTCTGTGTCTGTGTCTGTGTCTGTGTCTGTGTCTGTGTCTGTGTCTGTGTCTGTGTCTGTGTGTGTTTGTGTGTGTGACTGTTTGTGCTTGTGGTGGTGGCTATATTTGTGTGTCTGTTTGTGCTTACGTTTGTGTTTGCGTATGCGTGTCTGTGTGTCTGTGTTTTTGTGTTTGTGCGCATGTCTTTGTTTGTTTGCTTATTTGTTTGTTTGCTTGCTTGCTTGCTTGCTTGCTTGCTTGTTTGCTTGTGTACGTGGTTTGTTGTGTGTGTGTGTGGTGTGTGTGTGTGTGCGCGTGTGTGTGTGTGACATGACCTCGGTGGGGAAAAAGTAGGCCCATGATTCCGGCATGCCTGGTTTCGGCTTAGTTTGATTCGATAGTTGACTCAAAGGGATGTGCATAACGCATTGGGATGACACCCACTTAGGCAAATATGACAAATAAAAGTCCACCCCCAAACCTACCCATGCAAATACATCATTTGGCTGTGGGTCAAAAATGCGTACTCCAAATGGAACCCTGGTAAATAGAAACATGGGCTAAAATCTGCGGTCCCCTTGTGATTGAATATTGAGCATTGGTTTAACAGCCCCGCCTCCGACCATTGGTTTCTGTTGAGCACCTGGAGCTCCATACCAATTTGGCGAGTGAACAACATGGGCAATGCCAGCCACCAAAACGCAGGAACATGAACAAGAACGTTTCACAGAACCAAGGGCAGCCAAAATTGAAACTCAATGAGATCTCTTAGAGCCCATTTTTCACATGCGAAGATTGGTCCCTACATTTCTCTTGCGGTGGCTTTAAAGGTGATTATAGGTATGCCTCCATTGCTGAACTTCCGCTTGAGCGCAAGTCACATCAGCGTTGGAATGTAGAACTCTTGCTCTCTCTCTCTCTCTCTCTCTCTCTCTTTGGTGGGTTTATTTACCCTGGTTTCCCTGCGAAACCGTCCAAACAAGGCAGACACATTTCCCTCTTTTGCGAACCCACATGGAGATATTCCGTCAATTTGCCGACAAGATGCCCATAGAGTATCCCTTTGAATGCCGATAGACTTTGTTTTGTCCGACCCCACAACGTGTTGGCACATTTCAACTGCAGTGTCAAAGGCGCGGCATTTGTGTCATTGTGCTGTACCACCAATGTGTTTCCAAGGTTTTGTATCCCTCTTGTTTCCTCTTTCTTGTTGCATTGCGCTGCATGGTTGGTTCTGCTTTGTTCCCTTAAACGGTTGATTTGTTTGGATGGTGCTGGCCCTGTTCCGATCCAAGGGACACCCAAGAAGAAACCCACTATATTTGGGGTCCCCCTTTGACACCTGCCCATGTTCCCATTTGCTGAGGAAGCACTGGATGGAGACAAAGCTCCTGATGGTTCCAAGCTCCTCCAAGAGCCCAGAGATGCTGCTGAGGCTCTTGGAAAACGCGAGTGATGGGCATGGAAACCAGGGGAGTTATAGCTTGCAGAAAAGTAGTGTCAATCAGTTTTTCTCGGTGCTGAATCAGGCATGGGGATCCCATTCCGAAAGGGGATCAACATTAATGTCAGATTTCCTTCTGGATTCCCCGAACCACGCAAATAGCAGGACTTCCAATTGGTGACTCCTTTGTTGACGAGTCCAAAACGAGGTCCCGTGCATTGAAGGTTCCCGAGAGGGCGCCAAATGTCAAAGCCAACTTGTGTTTGTTTAAGGATACGTACCTTGTCCAGGTTGGTTTGAAGGGAAGCCAAATGGACAATTACCGTTTATTGAGGACGCGGCGGGAAATCTTCCTTGGATGAAAGAGATGGCACAATTCGTTTTATGTGGTTGAAGGGGATGAGGAAATCAGCATGAGGCAAGTGTGCCATCTACTTTCGACCAACTGTAATTGGAATCCGCTAAGTCAGACTTTGACAAAGCGGAGTTTTGCCGAGTGCAGCCATTCTTCGCAGGGGGAACATGCCCTTGGGGTTGCTGAACTTGGGTGTTTGGCTTATTGCCGAGCAGACACAAAATAATCAGTGCACGAGTGCTGTATTTTTTTGCATTTGCACATGACTTGGTGAGTGTTTTACTATTGACGGCCAGGCGGACCTGCCTGCATAGTCCAAATGTCAAATTCGGCGATATACCCCAAAGGGAAGCCGACAGGAGATGGGCAATGTCCTTTTTTGTCAACACCTGAACCAGCTCCAGGGAATGGATATATACCCACAAAGGAAATTTGTGGTGTTCTTAGGCATGAGGCCGCTCACCAACTTGCAAATCAAGAGGGCGCTGAATTCACACTTGAACACGCTAGAGGGCTTGAGAGGAGGGAAATGCAGTGGAATCCACAAGACTTCTGCCTAAGATTTGTTTTTTTTAGATGCAAGTGTTTGGCTCCGGGTGATGTGGTGTTGTTCTAGTGTCCTGTGCTTCACGCTTCCTAACGGCGCTTCAGCCGCAGGCTCCGATGTAGAAGTAGCTTCTCGTTTTGAGCCTGGCTTGGGCCTTTGTGCAGAGGATTTGTCTTTTAAGGGACACCTTGTCTGAAGGCGTTGCTTGGGCGTTTTTCATCTATTTCAGGGGGCGCACACCAGATCGTTCGAGGTTAGCAGGCTGAGCTTTGAGCTGGCTTGCAGCTGTCCAGCCCTCCTAAGCCAAACTTCAGAGTCTCCACCAAACTGCTCGGCAATCGACGCTTACTTTTTTGTTTCTGGCACTAAACTGCTCGAGATCTGGCCTCATGTAGCTGCGCTGACCCGCGGGAGCCACCCTTCGGGAGGCTTCGGCACGACAAAGCGGAGTACAAGCATGAGACGTTGGATCCTTGTCCGGACGTGGGTTCTCAACGCACTTTGTCCGGCAAGCCACCCGAGGGCTGCTGACACGGTTGTCATTTTGCGGAATGCCAGGTCGACAAGTTTCGCTAGCAGCCGATGGTGGTTTGATGTTTTCGCCCGCTATTCCCCGTGGTGCACATTGGCGCAGATGTTGTAAGCAAAGCCGATTTCACCAATGACACGTTCGAAGGGCTTGGATTTGAATCAGGCCCGCAAACACGGAATGGCGTGTCGTGAAACTAGAAATGAGAGGCTTTTTGGCTCAGGGAAAACGACGACAAGAGAACCCCGCGCATTTTTGTTAGGGCGTCTTTTGCTTTAGGACAAACTACGTGGGGTTCCAGGTTTTCTTTCCTGGCGGAGGTGCTGGATCCGGATTTTTTAGGATGTTTCGCGTACTTGAGGCGTTCCTGGCATGGCGGGGTTCAAGAGTAATTTGCATGGGTTCCAAATATGGCTGTACGTCAAAACCAATGGTACCATTTTGAGGTAGGTGCACCACCCAATTTACTCTGTTTTAGTGGGGATTGGGATGTTCACTGGGGGTAGGATTTGGATTTTGACCCATGGCCATATCAGAACAAATGGCACGTTCGATCTCGCCGTGTTTGCCCCTTACAGCCGCTGCCAAAAGGGGCCTTCTTGGGTCGGCGTTTTTGTGGGGCACCCAAAGCCTTTGGGTTGATGTTTAGCGGGAAACCAACAGGAACACCGCGGTTCCCATTTTGGGGTCCCCTACTAGGTCCCCCAGTAGCGCCCTTTTACTTGGGGGAGGGTTCCCCTACTAAAATAGACCACAGAAAAAAAGGGTACCCTTATTCTATCCTCTCTGCTGGAGGATCTCGCCTAAAAGGGACAGACACCCTAAGGAGCGGCATCTGTTCTTCGCCCGGACTTTGGTGATCGCCTGGCACTTGCTGCTGGCATCCACCGCCACCTTGGACTATGCCTTCGACATCGCCTCAAGTGACGTGACGACACGACGCCTTCGAACCAAACGTTGGGTTGCCGTCCCACAAACATGGGTGTTGCCCAAAATTGAAGAGCTGGGTTACGCGGTTTTAGTCTCTGATCCATTTAGCAAGGTGCCATTTTGGTATCTATTTGAGCCACAGCCACATGGCACCCGATGTCAGAGGAAATTAATCTTCCAGGAACCCCCCGACAGATGCCATGCCAGTGGAGGCGAGGGTGCCCGTTTTGACCCGTGCCTTCTGAAGAAGCCAGTTTTAAGAGGGTCCTCAGACACATGTCTTGCTTTGCATGGCTTAAACAATGACCTGTTGGGTCAGTGCAACAGTCATTGGGTTTCGTTTTGGTGGGGTGATGTTGAAACAGGACATGTAAGGATTGTTGCTCACGGGGCCATTTAAGGCTTATGGGCGACATGTTGGGAGCAACCTCCGCTTCTGAACTCCCATTTAGGAGCCTCTTTTCTGGGCAAAGGGAGGTGCGAGAGGATCTGTGATGCCAAGGAATTCTTTGCACGCAACACAAAGCCAAGAAGGGGCCAAGGTGTGGTTTAATCAAGCAAGCAAATGATTAACATGCAAGGCCTTTGCACTTAGGGCCTTTACCCCAAGTTTCCACGGTTGTGTCCACGCCCCAAAGACTTTTGGGTGCTGGGAGCTTGCGAGTCACCTCGCTTTCAGGAGAGAAATCATTAGGTTTTCCATAGATTAGCTTATGCTTTGTGATCGCTTCAATGATTGTTCTTATTTAGGTTCTGTCTACCTGGGCAACTGCGACGCAACACAAGTGATGTGATGACAACTGGTTGGCTTCGACTGTGGTTGAATATTTCGCAAATCAAGGGGACCCCCCCCAAAAAAAGAAGAAGAACAGAAAACAAAAGAAGAAGACAATAACAGCAACAGAACATAGGCTGTTTCCTTTTTGGGTTCCTTTCAACCAAACAAAACGGGCCCACAGAAAAGTGCTTGTCGCAGGAACAGGCCAACAAAACAAAAGAATCGGGGAGTTGATCAACAAGAAGAACATCCTGAGTTCACTTCCAACCCTAAACCCTTTCTTTACTTCCACTTTGCATCTTGGGTTTTGGGCCCGACAAGCCGGTCGAAGAAACGAGCTTGGCGAAGGAAACGTCCGGTGCGCGTCCTCGCTCGCTTTCTCGAAGCGTCCAACTTATTGGCCCGCTTGGACAGGGCAACTTCTAAGACGGGGCTTATAGGGAAATCAAACATAAGCATATAATAGATGTTCTTTGTAGGTCTGTTTGGCTAGATGAGTGTCGTCCTCTAGTTTCTATCGTTTACCCCATCGATTCTCAAAAGACACCTAACGAGAGCTGACCCGATTATAAAAAGTCCCAGATGTTCAACATACCACACGGTTATATAAATATCAAGTTGGTCCCGTTGCAATGCGACCAAACAAGCCTGTCCCTGTTTTGTTGGCATGTGGCTGTTGGTAGTGAACCGGCTCGACCAAACATGTGGGTAGATATATACATAATATATACATATAACATTCATGTATACATATCCCTCATGAAGGCCGTGGCTCCCATTTTGCAGTTCGGTGAGTTGAGATTTACCCAGCATGCATACTTAGAATACAAGAATGCCTTGGCCTTCCGCGCCTAGACATCTACTTTGGTGCATTTTGCTTGGATGTTAGGACTTTAACTTTTTGCCAACTCATGGGTTTTCCGTATTAAACCACTAAACGTTAGAAACTTTTAGCAGGGCTTCGCAGATTTCGCAACCGAGTCTACTTGTAGCTTAACCTCAGCCCCTCATCCCCTCGCATGCCGATTCGCCATGAAGCTTCGCCTTTTACCCGCGCTGCTGGTGCCGCTGGTCCCGGCGGAGGGGGCCTTGTCCATCTCCTCGGGCTACGAGACCTTCCTCACGCAGATCCGCACGCGCATTGCGCCTCGCGCGAATGGGGTGAGTCAAAAGGATCGGCAAAAGGACCAGACCGCGGTTGGCTGGTAGGACCTGGGAGTTGGGTCCTTTCTTTTGCTTCTTGTTGTTTTCGCAAAAAGGACCACAACTTAAGTTTGTAGGGCATCGAAGTTTTTCGCCGCTTTGGCATTCAATGCCCCCCTCCCCAAAAACCCCACAAGAAAGAAAGATAACACTGGCAACACGATTTACAACCACGCCTACCTTGCAGAGGTGTCCACTCCCATCCTTTGTCCCGTCGGGCACACCTGCTGACCAGGTCTGCGCAGAGGACGACGTCTACGATGAGGCCGCACTGGTCAAGCCCTGTGACTCCATGAAGGAATCCGGAAGCGCACCGTGTTTCGGGGCGGGGGTCAAGCCCTGGTTTTAAACATGTCCCAAAACCAAGAGGAAGATGGCTGAATACCTATGGTACTGGTAGCTGGGATCTAGTGGGTGCTTAACCACCAGTGTTTAGACGACCTCCTCTTGGTGTCCTCTGGAAAACTGGCCAGGTTTTAACTCCTGGTCGATCAGACTAGTGGTGTGTGATGTGTTGAGCAACTCCTCGAATTGCCCAACCCTAAAACCTTGTCTTGCCCAAAGGATGAACATCCTCAAAGAACACGGCCGTTCTGAGATCAAAGACTAGGGACTTCATTTAACTCTTTCTGAGTAGCTCTCATTTTTGGTCGCAACAATTACGTCGCAGACTAGGTGTCCACGGTAGATCCCAGAGTGTATTGATGTTCAAATCAAGCCGGAAAGAACACCTGGCTGGGAGCATCTTATCATCCATGTTGATTCTGTTGCAAAGGCTGCGGCTCTGCTCGATCCTAGAGGTACATCCAGGTGCACATCCGTCCTTTCAGCCCACTCTTGGAGTCGATCAACTGTTGCCAAGGAAAACCACCAGACCCATTCATTCCGCCATGTAAAGGGGGCTTTCCTGGTTCAGTCCTCAAATCTCTCAGGAGATTCCTGCAAATCCTGGTTTGCAGTGTCCCCAGGTCAATTCTCCAAGATTGTTCCCCGGTCAATCTATGAAATTCAGGTAGTTCATGAGAAAGATGGTTCCCAGGGCTCTGAGGGTTACATAGGTAAACCATCAAATGGGTGCGGGTCAAAGTAAGGGACCATCAAAGTGGTTGTTCTCCCTTAGTTTACACGGTAGACCCTCAAAAAACAGACCCAAAATCCAAGGTTTATCTAGCTTCTCCATTCCCGGCGAGTCGCGAGGACGGGCCCTTCTGCCGTGGTCTCCCTGAGTCTGGCACGGCACGGCACCGGCCCTTCACATTGGACGCTCCTCCTTTTGTGGGGGTTGGGGGCTGGGGGGGGGGGGGTTCAATAGCAATCGACCCTTGGAGTTTCCCGTTTGGCTATAGAATTGTGATACAGAACCCCTTAGTATGGTTTGTGGGGACAAGGCTCCGTGTAATTGATGTCTAAGGAACCGTAGTTGGAGCCCGCCGACAATGAAAAACGGTTCTTTTGGAACCTGCAAGAAGGGGTTAAGTAGCTCTGATACACAATCCCATGTGGCGAAAACAAACTTTTGTCAGGGATGAAGGACGCGAAAGGTTACCCATGAAAAACACACTTCACGATGAATCAACGTTATTTGTAGATAGTAGTGTCTTGGACTTACTCGAACACGCTGGCTGGAAGAGTGGAATATGTTTGGCGGGCACCGTTGGGACAGACCCTTGCATCCAACCACCTGCAGGTAAGACATCAACAGCTGCACTCTCATCCGAATGGGCTTGCAAAGTATAACCGCGACTCCGACATGTACCTGTGTCTTTTTTAGGGGACTCCCAAAAAGGGTGGTTGCCCTTTTGGCTTTCCTTCAAAACCACCCGGTACCCTGGCACCCTCAACAAAAGACACACCCATGTAGGTCGGGAAACAGAAACACTTGCATGCGTGAGATGGGTCCGGTGCTAGCAAGCATTGCATCTCATTGACTCCGGGTTGCCCAGCTTGGCCACCTGTCAAGCATTTCCAAGGTGGCAGGGCACCCAAGTGGTGTCCCACTTTCCATGAGACTGTCCCCCCGAGCTTGTACTCGCAGGTTTTGAGGGTTGACAACACGGTGACTCCTTTCAGGGGCGGTTTTTAGGTGGTTTGCTCTGGCTTCTCGACCAAACAAAGACAGCAGTTTGGAAGACCCCCCGCGGGGCAATATGCGCTTCCATGCAAACTGCCTGTGATCCAAAACCTCGGTATTTGGCTGATCTCGGGTTTTGACTCTGCGGAAGTCGCACGATCGGTCAGGAAGATCTTGCATGAGTGCATGCCAATGTTGTTTGTTACCCTGATGTTCCGAAACAAAATGATACTAGTTCTAAAAAAGACAGACTCCATTGCACCTGTCCTGCGCAAAATCAAATGTAACCTACAAAACCGCCGTGTTTTTTTTTGGGGGGGGGTTCCCAGTGGGTGTGTTCGAGTCACAAATTGTTGGTGGGTCTCGAGGACAGCATCGTGCCGCAGCACCTCTTTGGGGACCCCAGGGCTGCCTTGGAACTCGAGGAGGGGGCTGTGGACGCAGACACCCAGGCCACAAAGCAGGCAATCGGGGCGCGTGGGTGGCCGGAGGCTACGGTCGGTTTGTCTCGGATTTTGCTCTAGAATAGGGGGCCCGGGTTCCCAAATTGGGTTGGGTTCTGTTCATTCCCACGTGTTTTGGGTTTTTTCCTTCCGGTTTCGCTTTAAACCAACAAACAAAACAGGTCCCTCCAGAAAAGGTTCCCTGCATTGCGACAAGGCAAGAGTTTGGGCCGCACACAGATGGCTTGAGTTTTTGAGGACGCGGGGTGACCGGCTTCTATTGGACAGAATCCTCCAGCAAGTAGGACGGCATTTGTAGCGCTTCACCTCTCCCATCTGGATTCTTTGCTCGACTCTAAGTGGGACATGCGAGGCCCAGGCTGTTGAGCTAGGTGCTTTGGATTGCCTCGATCGCTCGAGGCAATGTATGTGGACAGTATCCTACAATTGGACCCCTTTTACATGTGCAAAGGGAAGCGGAAAGGAAGCAACCAGTGTGGGGGGGTCTCTTTTTGAAGGGCTTTTTTGGTCACCCTGCGAACTTAAACAAATAAAAAGCTTTTAGCGCTAAAACACTGGTTGGGAACCCTCCGTAACTTTGTGTTTTCTAACCATCCGAAATCCTTTCTGTTCAACCCCTCAACCTGGTCCTTTTATTCTCGTTGAGATAAGTGAGTTGATTGACCTTTGTTTTTATCTTCCAGGTGGCTAGTGCATCAAGCCCCTCCAACCTTTTCAGCTGGCGGCTGGGGGTTCTCACATGCCCAGCGTCGAGAGGAAGATACTGCGCTGTTTGTTTTCTGCTTGGCTGCTTGCTAAACGGCAGGTTTGCCATATCCCGTTTACGGCCTGAATGCCGATTGGAGGGTTGCAAATACAGGGACACCTGCATCCGCGTCATTTTGAAGCGAACCACCAGAACAGGCAGGCATTTTACCCAAAAGCTAGCACGGAATCGCGTTTCGCGCGATGCCTATTTCCTCCAGGTTGGGGCCTCCTTATGCATGCTTTGAGCAAGGGAAACACCACACCTTTTTGGGGCCAAACATGGGGACGCCCATTTTCGGGAAGACTTGGGTTTTTGCATGGCACCCTGCACTGGGACATTGCACCATTCTGGCTTCCTGGACGCTGGCCTCGGGCCAGACCATTTTGCGCCATGTTCCCGGGTGTCCCAAGTAACATGGGTTTCCACCCCATTCTGGACGGGAAAAAGGGAAAGATGTCACAACTTGCTCAGGACATCCCATGCGTTGAATAATAGATATATAGTTATTATGTTTGAAACTAAATCATACAGTAGCCCAGATAAAGAAAAATGATAATAAAAAAGAAACACAACAACAAACAGGTTTTTCCCCATGGAAGCCACAGCCATGGCAAGCAGTTTTTTTAGTAGACGCCAGGCCATCCAGGTGCTGAACCGCTTCCTTGAGAAGAACTCCGTGAAGGACTGCCGTTTTTTCCTGCGCGTGTTTTTTTTGTTTGTGTTTGTTGGCTGGACCACACGTTGGTTTTGAGTGTATTTCAGGAAAACCGTGGAAAAACTCACCGGTTACATAATTCAGGTTTCTTATGTTGTTAAACGGGAAGCAGCATGGAAAGTGCATGATTTAGGACTTCCTGCATTTGGGGTCTTTTTGCGCCAGCAACAGCTTATTCATTTCTTGTGAGGGGTCAATGACCAAGCTGTCAAGCGAGCAAGTGAAGGCTTGTTTTGAAAAATGCGGCGGCCCTGCCTTAATGGGTTGTGTCCCTATGGCCCTAGATGGGTTCCCCCGAAAGGGAACAAAAACAAGGAGGGCGGTTCCTCTGAAAAAGCAAACACACACACACACACACCCACGTTTAACTGGTTTGTGCCTTTAGAATGCGACCCAAAAAGCCAGTTAAACAAGCACCTATTTGTTGTTGGTTTTTGTCCGGTTGTTTTTGTTGCAAGACCTAAAGAGCACATCCTTTCCGGATGTTATGTGTTTGTTTATTGGGGGGAACCACCCTTTCGCTAGGGACAGCAAACGGAAACCGCCCATTTTGGCCATCCCCCCTCCATTTCTTATCCAACCTCCCCCCTACTGCAAACATACTTTGTTCATGCGTTTTCATATGTCACCCACATACAACATATTCGAATATATATATATATATAGAGAGAGAGGTGTTCTTCCACCTAGGTCCCCCAGTAGTGCCCTTTCTCACCCCTTTTTGGTTTGGAGGGTTCCCCTACTAAAATCGACGTCCAGAACAAAAAATCGGGTACCAACTTATTCCAACCTCCAAAACTGGAGGACCTAATTAGTACATATATATATATATATGTACACATATATATATATATATATTTGATTTCCCGGGCTTTTCCTCCGTGTTTGTTCTTTGCCTCGTTGGTTTCCTTGTGGGAGGAGTCCATGCCGAGCTCCGCCTGGGAGGGGCGCCTGGATTTCCGGGGCCTCTGGGGCGGCTCGGCGCCGCGGGGCTTCTCGGCGGGGCTGCCGCCGGAGGTCTACGCCACCTGGGAGGGCGCCTGGCAGGAGGGGCTGCCAGCGGTGGGGGGCGGGGGCTGGTGAAAGGAGGAGGGGAGGGGGGAGCTTGGGGGTGGGGGGGGGGGGGGGACGGGGAGGGGAAGGGAGGGGGGGGGGAGGGGGAGGGGGAGGGGGAGGGAGGGGTGAGGGGGCTGAGGGGGAGGGGGAGGGAGTCTGCTGAGATTGTTCCAGACCAAGCACTTCAATTGAAGGAAGGCACCAAGATTGGGTGCTCAAAATTGGATTCCATTGCAATGTGCTGGCTCCATTTCTGAGATTTGATCCCAACCGACCAATGCTTCGACCCATGTCCTGACAACAAGAAACATTGCGGACCACGGGCGAGGGATTGCCACCGAAGAGTGACCTAGCGAATCCATCTGCAAGAAGCAACTAGGGCAAGCCTCTGTTTAACGACCGGAGAAAAAGGCACCTGGCTACCAGAGTGAGAATAGATCCCACTGAAACAGTCAGGCATCTTGGCCCCTCTGAAGATTGTCAGGGCGTCTGAATGAGTCTCATGCTTAGAAATTGCATGAAACCATGACAGATGGCCGCACGTTGATTTTTTAGAGTACCCTTTTCAAGGTTGCTTTCAAGGGAAGCCAAGAGAAGATCCGCCCTTTTGCTTTCTTTCCTGAAAAACTCGGAGGACCCCACAAAGCCATCATCATCATCATCATCATCATCATCATCATCATCATCATCATCATCATCATCATCATCATCATCATCATCATCATCATCATCATCATCATCATCATCATCTAAAGTCTCTTCTCTTGGTTCCCTTCAGAACCCCAACCCCACAGAGGTGTGCCCACCAAAAAGAAAAGCCCTGCCGCAGCCTGTCGCAGGTTGTACCCGCCGTGGAAGGCCCTGGGGACTGGATGAGCAAAGCGAAGCGGAAGCCGCGGGTGCAAGCGGCCCTCCGGCTGAACGGCGCAATAGGCAGGGGGGGGGGGAGGTGAGGGCCCCCAAAGCCCGCGCTTCGGTGCCCTTCGGTCAGGCGCTGTGCGCTTCTCCCGGCCGGTGGTGGTCCGCAGCTTGCAGCTGAGACCCGAGGCCGAGGTGCAGCCGATCGTTGCCCATCTCTCAGCTGGGGTGAAATGAGCTGAATGGCTCATGTAACCTTCCACCAACTAATTTCCAAGAGGAAAGTTGTCTTTCTACAGGGGTCTGTGCACTTCCCTGTTCGCTGGTGGGAGGGTATGTGGCTGCGGGGCAAAACCAATGGAATCTCGTTTTGGGGTAGGTGCACCACCCATTTTAGAACCTATTTTAGTGGGGATTGGGATGTTCACTGGGGTACGGGATTTTGACCCATGGCCATGTTTGTCTTTTGCTAGGGGCCCCTTATTTCAGGTTTGATAGGGTAACTTGCACATCACAGATTTGAATCGGCTTGAACCTTGGCCAATCGGAAGTCCATTTCTCCTATTTCCTCAGCTCCCCAGTTTTGCACCAAGTTCATGGGGCAACTTGTTCTAATGAAGTCCGGAGGTGAGCAAAGCGAGAACACGTGGAGCAGGCAGCAGGCAGCTGCACCCAACGGTTCCTGTGGGGTTGGCAAGCATGGTGATGAAGTTTTAATAGGAATGGTAGGCAGTCTTGAAGGATTCTGACCATGGCCTAAGTGTTGACATGTCACATGTAAACTCCTGTGGATTGGGGAGAGCACTCTTAAGGCAACTTTCTGGCTAATGATTGGCCAGAGGAAGCCCACAAATTGTTGCTTCCAAACAAGGGTACCCTCAAAAAAGACACCCATATACCACAACATAAGGAGTCATGACGTTAGGTGTTGAGTGGAGTAGAGTTTACTACATCCAGGTGAAGCAAAGCCATTCCATTAGGCAATGGCACCCAACTATGAAGCATCAGCGAAAGGCAGGTGCTTTTTCAGGCTGGAGAATCGAGCATTGCTCCCCTGCATGTGTCATGGAACCCGAACAGGTCCGATTCCCAAGAAGAGGTTCCTTTCAAACTTTTTGTTTCTGCAGGGGAGTAAGCATTTGCTTTCCAGAGCTTTGGCTCGCCTTCCCAAGTTTCCTAGAGCAAATTGGGGGAGACCACCACAAAAGATGACTTTCACCAAATGGGAAGAGATACCCACGGCCATTTTGGGGCCGAACGAATTTTGATCAACCCCGAAATATAATTTGCACATGTATATATGTACATACATATATTCACCTTTCCCCACCAAAGACCTGCCTTGGGACCCCCTCCATTCCCTCGCGCGCTGTGCAGGCGGAGGATGACCTCGTGGTGCTGGGCCGAATTGGTGGCATGGAGGTCTGGCGCCACGCCTACCGGCGCAAGGCGGACCCGTTCGGCGATCGAGCGAAGCCCAAGGGTTGGGTTTGGTGAGGTTGGGTGTGTGGGTTTTGGGTGGCTGGGTGTGAGGTTGGCTTGGTAATCAGCTTGTTGGTGGGTTGGCTGACTGGTTGGTTGCGTTGTTTGGGTAACCTAGCTGGACAATCCCGTTTTGTGTATGGTGACAGTAACTTGTGCCCCCCCATTGACAGGCCAAACCCTTGCGTGCGATGGCCAGTTTACCTGGATGCTTCGGGTTGTCAACAATGGCGATCACCTCTTGAAGCCCTTTGGTCAAGAAACTTTCTATCCTTGTGTCGGCGGTTTCGATGCCAACCAAACCAGGCCTGTCTGACCATCATGGTTTCCAGGTTTGACCATCCCTGTTTGACATGATGAGTCCGGAGAATCACTGCGGAAAAAAAAAAAACGCCAAACCGGCAAAATCGAGTGGAGAAGGGTGAGGATGGTTCAGGCCGATTCCCTGCCGAATCTCCGGGGTTCTCAAATCGCAGAGTCCGCGCCAGGACCTCTCAGTGCCCCTTTGCGGCACCGGCGACCTGGTGCTCGGCAGGCGACTCAAGAAGCAACTCGCGGTAGACAAAAACTCTCAGAGAGATCTGGCGTATGGAAGCGCAAAAGCATGGAATCTACAGGACCTTCCCTCACCTGGATCATTTCAGCGTTCTTACTGGACTAGTTGAGCTGGGGATCTTGCTTGGCCCTCATTCCTTGTAACCCCCCCCCGGTCAAGGTCGACAAGGTCCCCGCTATTAAGTGCCAGAAATGGCGTCAGCTTTGTGGGTCCCGTTTCAAGTATTATGGGCTGGCAGTGGGATGGGGGGGAAAATGACGGTCTTAAATAAGAGGTGTGTGTCAATCCGGGGTCAACACGAGTCTCAACTCTGGGATTCGGGAGAGAGTGTCTGGCTAAAACCAGTTATCCGGTCTTCTGGATGTTATCAGGTGTTCTCGTATAGCCCTCTCGTCTTGCTGTCCCTTCCCTGACTCTGAACAAATGGCTGTGGGTCAGAACCAATGGGATCCCATTTTGGGGTATGAATTCACTACCCATTTTAGAACCTATTTTAGTGGTTGGATTGAGTCGGATGTTCACTGGGGGTACGATTTTGGATTTTGACCCATGGCCAAATTGGCTTTATCTACCCCAAATTCAGGAGTCATGACCCAGACTCCGTGTCGGCAGGTGGGAGGGTGGCGAGCAGCTGGGGCAGTACTACTACGCCCGGATCCTGGCACCCCACACCTTCGGCGCCACGGTGATGTGGCCACTCAGAGTAGTTAGTTAGAGTTTAGTTTAGTTTTGGTTTAGTTTTAGTTTTCACTCAATAAGAAGTAAGAGTTTAGTTTTAAGAGTTTTAGGTAAGAGTTAGAATGCCATCCGAGTGGTTGGTGGCTTCCCCCCCCCCATTTTTCCCTCAATTCAAAGATCGCGTTTCGGGTCCTCAACCTTTTCGCCCGAATTCGGGATACTGCCCTAGGTTGGACCACGACCCGACCCACCGCCTGGTGGTCTGGGAGCATCTGCTCACCCCGGCGGGCAAGCCCTGCGCCGATGCCGACGGCTCTGACTCCTTGCGGCCCAACCGGCTCTGGCGGGATGTGGCGCGGCGCACCAAGGCAGCCTGGGGGTGACGGAGGGGCGGGATGCCGTGAGGGGAAGGCTCAGGGAGACAGGGAGATGGCTGAAGAGTGATGTAGATAGAAGGATGCATATAACAGGTCATCTTTGACATGTCATAAGTGTGGCGCCTTTGTATGTAAGTTGTTTGTTGGTTGGAGGATACCTGCTTTGTTTGGCGAGAACAAACAAGTGCGCAGAGTTGGAAATCCCGATGGTCCTTTTTCGTTTGGGATATTTGTATGAATGTATGAAGTGGTCTGCCTCAGCAGCCCAAGCAATGTTGTTATGGAGTGAGGGTGATCAGGAGGCCGCAATACATTCAGCCCCACACCCACAGACTATTCAGTATTTCATGGTGTCAACTCCTTTTCAGTTGGACAGGGTGCTGGCAAACACGTTGGACATTTGGAGGCTTGCACGATGTTAGCCACCCGCCAAGAAACGCATGCTTCTGGAAGAGAGCGTGGCGCTACCCCAAGGCATGTCAGAAATGAATGAGCCTTTTGGCCCCAGGAAGGTGTGATTGCTTCATAGGCATGCGGCATGCGGTTTGTTCCCCGTGTTACTCCCTCACTGATCTCAACCAGTGCCTTGCACTGGGAAAGCAACCACGGTTGTGGAAAATCGGCGGCTTCGCCAGTGTTTGCGCGCAAAGTCAAGGACACCCAACAGTGCCAAGATTTTGAAGGCACTTTTGCCCCTTTTTTCCTTCAAGGTTGAGACACGGGTGGACGTCAACCGTGATTGAGCACAGGGCCTGAGTGAAAAACTGTGAATACCCTTAGACATAGTAGACACATCCTTGCATCAAGTGATGTCCACAAGCTCCCCATGTTTGCTTCCAAGGATCTTTGGACCGATCTTCCTCTTCCGACCTTTTAACCTTTGGGTTTTGCAGCTTTGGTCCTTAGTCAAGGTTCCAAAGGCTAACCTTTTATTTCTTGGTGGCTTGGTTGGGCAAGTGTTCGCGTCATGTGGGTATGGGTCAAAATTAGCCTACCAGGGGACCGCAGGTTGTAGTCATTGTTTCCATTTACCAGGGCAGCCCATTTTGGGGTTACCCTATTTTTGACCCACACCCACGTGGGCCCTCTTGGAGCTCGGTGGAGCTTGGAAGTTTTGGAGGCGGTGGACGAGGTGGCCTTCCTCTCAAGACTCGCGGAGTCCGGATCCGAGCCCCAAGTGGGCGGTTGGCTGCTGGGGCGGCTGCACCTGGCGGCGGAGCGGTGGAAGGCAGGCTGACGTCACGACATCGCTTTGACTTCTGGTTAGCACGTGGAGTCTCCGTGATCCTTTAAAAATAGGTCCATGACCCCATTACTTAGGGTAATGACCCCATTTTTAAAGGGTCATGGAGACTCTAGGTACTCCTTTTCCAAGTGGGGGTGGTTCTCATTGTGGTTCTGTGCGAATTTGCTTGGAGCTGGTGCCCTTTTTTGTTTTGTTTTCGATCCTGGAAGTAGACTGTCTACTGATTCCATGTTTGTTGGAAAGAGAATTGGGTAGAGGCGGTCATCACATCTTTAGGGATTGCAGACAGCATATTTTCCTTTGTCAGTCGGTTGGCCACTTAGGGTTACCAGAACATGGGTTACCAGAACTTAGGGTTACTTATGGTCATGGACCCTAAAACAGGAAAGACAAGGCAGAACATGGATTCCCCAAGCACCTGAAAACCCAAAAGCACCAATTTGGGTTGGCTCCCGGGTGTGGGGATTTGGAGGAACCAAACGGCAAAGGTTTTGGGCGCGGCGCTCCCCATGTCCGGGACTTCAGAGAACGGGTCGCACCAATGAAACCATTGGCCCGCATAAGGAGCCCTGACCATAGCACAGGCATTTGAGCAGATTATCACGAGCACAATTCGTCTTGGTAGCCTGCTGTTGGTTTGGGGCGGACATGCGGACCTGAGTTCCCTACAACAAAAGAGGACAACCCATGTCCGGGGATGCAGAAAATTGTCCGGGACTCATTTTGAGTCGCTATTTGTGCAGACGCATGATGACAGTCCTCAAAAGTTGATGCTGCTGCACTTCGAAAAATGTATGACCTCCTAAAAGTGCGTTTTTTGAGGGTAGATGTTCAATTGGGTGTCCACCCACTCTCAAGGGGGTTCCCTACTCCCACTGAAATTCATTGCCAAGTGAAACCCTAGGACTTAGCAGATGAATCCAAGCTTCACATGATTTCCTGTCAGTTAGATGGACCAACTCCTGCACCTAAGGAACCTATTCGGAGTTCGATTGGGCACAAGTTTCTGTATCAATTGGGCCTCCCGGTTATTCTAACCTCTCTACTGCCTCTCTACTGGAGCACCTAGGCCTTTTTTCCCTTTCCGTTTGGACGTGCGGATATAGGCGAAGAGCGACTCGGTGAACGAGGCGGCGGTGCGGCCGCCCGCAGGCACCACCAGCCGCGTGGTGCAGGCGAAACGCGGAAACGGGGCGCGGGGTCAAATGGCCGTGGGTCAAAACCGTTTTGGGATCCCATTTTGGGGTTTTCGGTGCACCACCCATTTTAGAACCTATTTGAGTGGTTGGATTGAATCGGATGTTCACTGGGGGTACGATTTGGATTTTGACCCATGGCCAAAATGTTCGCATCAGAAACGGGCCATGGTTTGCCTTTTCTGCTGTTTGTGGGATAAATAAGCAGAGTTCCTGGCAGCGCAGAAGCCCTTTTCAAGGGAGGTGTGGGAAAGGCAAACCCTGAAAGGGACTCCGTCAGTCAATGACTCATCGTCATAGGTGTCCTTTTTGGTTGGTTTGCTTTAAAAAAAGAGGGCCCTGGTTTAGATTGGGTTTGTTCCATTTACCAGGGCCATCTATTTTTCCAAAAGGCCGCCTATGCTCTTCGCATTTGTTTTTACTTTCCAAGTACATCCTTAGAAGGTACCCAGGGAGCTTGCTTTTGGTTGGCATTCAACAGAGGCAAACAGGGAATACAGCGTCCTTCAGGAGTTTGGGTTCGATGAGTTGGGGTGAAGCTTTCCTTCAGATCTCTCTTCGGGAATGTCTGGGATTTGCAAATCCACCACTTGCCCCATGTGATTACTTAGGTTCCTCACAGGCTATTTCGGTGATTTGGTGTTGGCATTCTACTGCAGGCGCTGGGGGTGTTTTGTTCCACGGGACCAGCGAGGCGAAGATGTTTGTGAGACTAGATACATCCTTTGGCCACAAAAACGGAAATTTCCACTTGGGTACCATGCGTTTTGTTGTGGCTGCTGTTTGGGAGTTTCAAAGGGAAGCCAAAGGAAACGACCCATTTCGGGGCTCCTTCTGAGACTACATGCAGCAAAGGGCTCGAAGTCTGCGCGGCTGGCCACTGCAGATCAACTTACAGGGCAAAATGTTGAGCAGCTCGCTCATGATCAGACAACAAGCTAGGAATTGGTCAAAAGCGAACTAACTAGCTGACAAACTTACATGCATCAGAAACCAATACCAAAGAACAGCACGAAACACGCCGAATCGCGGAGAACGCAAACAAACCCTTGGTTGCCTCTTGCCCAGTGTCAGGTGCTGCCTGGTCCCCATGCCACCATGGAGGAGGCTTCTAGCGCTGCGCCTTGGACGCAAAAGAAACACGTATCTGAGGTGGGCCAGTATTTGAGTTGTTTGAATCAGTCCGTAAGCTTAGCCCTACCAAAGCATATTCATCGACACTTATGATATACAATTTGGGAGCCCTAAGTACAGGCCGAGCAAGTGATACCGAGCTTTCCAAGCTGCTCGAAGCCTCGAGGGCCATGATGAAGCTGTCTTTATCTTCGTTCATAGCAGTTCCTCCGAATGTGGAGCTCTTGTGGTTTCCCTTCAGGGCTCAAACCAGGAAGTAGACAGCAAGCGGGTCTGGATGAGGGCCCGCCTCAACCGCCTTCCCTCCCTTTTGGCTACACACAGCCACATGCGAAACGGGGCAACTACACGACAACAGTCCTTGAAACCTGGCGGCAGACTTGGTCTGAACAAATCACGGCCTGGGACCCTTGCTCCAAGGCGGTTGTTTAAACAGTGGTGAAGACAACATGCACATAGAATCATAGAAGAAAAGCAATTTGTTCCGCATCCCCGAGTGAAAACCACGTTCGGCCTACTTGATCTGTTCTTCCATCCGGAGACTTTTTTTATGGGAGAAGATGTGAATAAAGTAATTCATTCTCACGCATTGCACGACTTGTCACTTGACGCCTTTCGTGCAGCTCATGGTTCCTTAAGCTTCTCCTTTGAAGGTCAATGAAAATCACATCGCGTCGGTCGTGATGGTTGATGGTTGACATGGCCCAGGAAGACATAGACCCCCCCCCCAATACTGTTTGAGCCTATGGCTGCGAGGGTAGCATTGGCAAGCAACCCCATGGACATGGCAATGATGCCAAGTAACTTTTACAATGTGTATATATATACATATTGTCGCTCTTGATTTTGTATTCTCCAGAAATTGAGTCGGCGTATTTTCGAGTCAGGCAGCGTCCGGATGTTGGTCAAGGCACCCCGAACAAGAACTCCCTTAAGCTGCAGTTTCATGGGATTTTCCAACTGGCCCGCAATCCTTCAGCAACAACTGAGGCATCTAGCGTGTCCTTTTGGAAATGTAGATGGATTCCACTAAATGGAAAAGGAGCCAAACTGAAACCAGCGGAATCCCTCTAATTATTTTCAATCGGGACGCGGTCGTTTGAACGCGTTGGCGAAAAGCAACGCACGCGCTGTGGCAACTCGAGGGCCGCGCCGCCGGCCAAAAACAATGAACGCGCTGCTTTGGCGGTTCAAGGGGCGCGCCGCTGGCCAAAAACAACGAGCGCGCTGCTGTGGCAATTCAAGGGAAGCGCTGCCTCTGACCACAAGTGAAGCGTGCTGTGGAAAATTGGCTCTGTGAGGGACAAGCTACTCCAGGGTAGGCTTCCCCGCGAGTGTCCGGACAGCCTGGTGCTTCCCCGACACCTCTCGGCTGCCTCGGCACCTCCGGCAGCTTCTTGTGCTTCTTCCAGGCTAAACCGCGGACTCGCCTGGAGAAAACGGCCATTCAAACTTGGCCAAAGATTGTCATATTTAGAGCGAAATGGCTTTGAAGAGCTTGATTCCTGCAGTCTTTGACCTTGTTTCAATAGCTAATTTTCAGAAAACTGGTGCTGACAGCTTCCTGGTGCTTCCTGGTGCCTCGGGACCTCTCCGGACAGCGGACAGCTTCCTGGCGCTTCGCCATAATCTCCGGACAGATTCTTCCAGGACTCGCCTGGAGAAAACGGCTCTTCAAACTTGGCCAAAGAGTGTCATATTTAGAGCCAAATGGCTTTGAAGAGCTTGATTCCTGCAGTCTTTGACCTTGTTTCAATAGCTAATTTTCAGAAAACTGGTGCCGACAGCTTTCTGGTGCCTTGGGACCTCTCCGGACAGCTCCCTGGCGCTTCGCCACCTCCGGACAGCTTCCTGGTGCCTCCCGCACCTCTCCGGACAGCTTCCTGGTGCTTCCCGGCACCTCCGCCAGCTTCCTTGTGGTTCTTCCAGGCTAAACCGCGGACTCGCCTGGAGGCCAGATGGTCTTGATTCCTGCAGTCTTTGGCCTTGTTTCCGTAGCTTCCTGGCGCTTCGCCGGGACCTCCGGACAGCTTCTTGGTGCCTCTCCGGACAGCTTCCTGGTGCTTCCCCGGCACCTCCAACAGCTTCCTTGTGCTTCTTCCAGGCTAAACCGCGGACTTGCCTGGAGAAAACGGGTATTCAAACTTGGCCAAAGAGTGTCATATTTAGAGCCAAATGGCTTTGAAGAGCTTGATTCCTGTGACCTTGTTTCAATAGCTAATTTTCAGAAAACTAGTGGCGGCAGCTTTCTGGTGCCTCGGGACCTCTCCGGACAGCTTCCTGGCGCTTTGCTGGGACTCCGGACAGCTTCGTGGTGCCTCCCCGCACCTCTCCGGAGAGGTCAAAGCTTTCGGGGCAGCACCAGGAAGTTTTTTTTTCGAAAATTAGCTGCAGTTTAGCCTGGTGGAAGCACCAGGAAGCTGTCGGCAGCTAGTTTTCCAAAAATTAGGTATTGAAACAAGGTCAAAGACTATGAAAATCAAGCTCTTCAAAGCCATTTCGCTTTAAATATGACAGTCTTTGGCCAAGTTTTAATAGCCGTTTTCTCCAGGGAAGCACCAGCAAGCTGTACAAAAGTGCCGGGGAAGCACCAGGAAGCTGTCTGGAGAGGTGCCGGGGAAGCACCGAGAAGCTGTCCGCGGGGACGCACCAGCAAGCTGTCCAAAGCACTAGGATGCTGTCCGGAGAGGTTCCGGGGCAGCACCAGGAAGTTTTCTGAAAATTAGCTATTCAAACAAGGTCAAAGACTATTAAAATCAAGCTCTTCAAAGCCATTTGGCCCTAAATATCACAGTCTTTGGCAAAGTTTTAACAGCCGTTTTCTCCAGGGGAGGTCCGCGGTTTAGCCTGGTGGAAGCACCAGGAAGCTGTCGGCACCCAGTTTTCTAAAAAATAGCTATTGAAACAAGGTCAAAGACTATGAAAATCAAGCTCTTCAAAGCCATTTCGCTTTAAATATGACAGTCTTTGGCCAAGTTTTAATAGCCGTTTTCTCCAGGGAAGCACCAGCAAGCTGTCCAAAAGTGCCGGGGAAGAACCAGGAAGCTGTGCGGAGAGGTGCCGGGGAAGCACCCGGAAGCTGTCCGCAAAGGTCCGGGGAAGCAGCAGCTAGCTGTCCGGAAGTGTCGGGGAAGCGCCAGGAAGCTGAGGTGCCGGGGAAGCACAAGGAAGCTGTGCGCAAAGGTCCCGGGGAAAGCGCCAGGAAGCTGTCCGGAGAGGTCAAAGGTTTCGGGGCAGCACCAGGAAGTTTTTTTTTCGAAAATTAGCTGCAGTTTAGCCTGGTGGAAGCACCAGGAAGCTGTCGGCAGCTAGTTTTCCAAAAATTAGGTATTGAAACAAGGTCAAAGACTATGAAAGTCAAGCTCTTCAAAGCCATTTCGCTTTAAATATGACAGAGCCGTTTTCTCCAGGGAAGCACCAGCAAGCTGTACAAAAGTGCCGGGGAAGCACCAGGAAGCTGTCCGGAGAGGTGCCGGGGAAGCACCGAGAAGCTGTCCGCGGGGACGCACCAGCAAGCTGTCCAAAGCACTAGGAAGCTGTCCGGAGAGGTTCCGGGGCAGCACCAGGAAGTTTTCTGAAAATTAGCTATTCAAACAAGGTCAAAGACTATTAAAATCAAGCTCTTCAAAGGCATTTGGCTCTAAATATCACAGTCTTTGGCAAAGTTTTAACAGCCGTTTTCTCCAGGCAAGGTCCGCGCGCGGTTTAGCCTGGTGGAAGCACCAGGAAGCTGTCGGCAGCTAGTTTTCCAAAAATTAGGTATTGAAACAAGGTCAAAGACTATGAAAATCAAGCTCTTCAAAGCCATTTCGCTTTAAATATGACAGTCTTTGGCCAAGTTTTAATCGCCGTTTTCTTCAGGGAAGCACCAGCAAGCTGTCCAAAAGTGCCGGGGAAGCACCAGGAAGCTGTCTGGAGAGGTGCTGGAAGCACCGAGAAGCTGTCCGCGGGGACGCACCAGCAAGCTGTCCAAAGCACTAGGATGCTGTCCGGAGAGGTTCCGGGGCAGCACCAGGAAGTTTTCTGAAAATTAGCTATTGAAACAAGGTCAAAGACTATTAAAATCAAGCTCTTCAAAGCCATTTGGCCCTAAATATCACAGTCTTTGGCAAAGTTTTAACAGCCGTTTTCTCCAGGCGAGGTCCGCGGTTTAGCCTGGTGGAAGCACCAGGAAGCTGTCGGCACCCAGTTTTCTAAAAAATAGCTATTGAAACAAGGTCAAAGACTATGAAAATCAAGCTCTTCAAAGCCATTTCGCTTTAAATATGACAGTCTTTGGCCAAGTTTTAATAGCCGTTTTCTCCAGGGAAGCACCAGCAAGCTGTCCAAAAGTGCCGGGGAAGAACCAGGAAGCTGTGCGGAGAGGTGCCGGGGAAGCCGGGGAAAGCGCCAGGAAGCTGTCCGGAGAGGTCAAAGGTTTCGGGGCAGCACCAGGAAGTTTTTTTTCGAAAATTAGCTGCAGTTTAGCCTGGTGGAAGCACCAGGAAGCTGTCGGCAGCTAGTTTTCCAAAAATTAGGTATTGAAACAAGGTCAAAGACTATGAAAATCAAGCTCTTCAAAGCCATTTCGCTTTAAATATGACAGAGCCGTTTTCTCCAGGGAAGCACCAGCAAGCTGTACAAAAGTGCCGGGGAAGCACCAGGAAGCTGTCCGGAGAGGTGCCGGGGAAGCACCGAGAAGCTGTCCGCGGGGACGCACCAGCAAGCTGTCCAAAGCACTAGGAAGCTGTCCGGAGAGGTTCCGGGGCAGCAAGCTCTTCAAAGCCATTTGGCTCTAAATATCACAGTCTTTGGCAAAGTTTTAACAGCCGCTTTCTCCAGGCGAGGTCCGCGCGCGGTTTAGCCTGGAAGCACCAGGAAGCTGTCGGCACCCAGTTTTCTAAAAAATAGCTATTGAAACAAGGTCAAAGACTATGAAAATCAAGCTCTTCAAAGCCATTTCGCTTTAAATATGACAGTCTTTGGCCAAGTTTTAATAGCCGTTTTCTTCAGGGAAGCACCAGCAAGCTGTCCAAAAGTGCCGGGGAAGCACCAGGAAGCTGTCCGGAGAGGTGCCGGGGAAGCACCAAGAAGCTGTCCGCAATGCATTTCTTAGGATTTAATGTTATGCTAAGAAGCATCCCATCCTTTCCAGATTCTTTTCATTCCTGGAATCATCTATTGGATCAGGAATAACTTCTTTATGATTATTTGCTTATCTTATATTGTTTTGTGATTTCTTTCATGGCGCTCGAGCAAACACCTACCATAGCGCGCTCCAAAAAGATAAAACTAAAACGCTCCCCGTCGCAGAGCGTAGCGCGCTCCCTTTTTTTGCAACACAGCGCGCGCGCTGGTATTGTCAGCGCGCTCCAAAACGATAATATTTTGGCGCGTTGCAAAGACCGGGTGTGGATTTTCAATCAACTCCCCTGCAAATCAAGATGGCTCCCAAAGCCATCATCTCCCGACTGCGATTCCACTACACTCGCCAATCTAAAACTCTGACTTTTTTGCTCAGCTTCCATAGGGGTTAATTCACTTCCATTTGCTTAAGAACCAGTGTTGTAGTTTTCCCTGTTGCTGTTTTTTTTCTTCAGGAATCTATCACTACTGAACATATACCTTCATTTGCTTAAGAATACTTATTATTTCCTTGTTGGTCTTAAAAGGAATTCATCACTACTGGACATATTTTCATTCTTTCCTGGGGCCTTACCCAAATGGAAGTATGTGTTTCGGTCCATGGGGATTTTTAAATCCAAGTGGCCTTTTTTCGCGTTTTCGCCTGCCGCAGGCGGTGTTCTACAACGCGGACGACATGTTGGAGCGGGGCCTAAGGCTGAAGAGCTGGAGCCGGCGGACGCTGGTGGAGCCCCAGGCCAAGGCGCGGAGATGGATTCGAGTGTGAGGAGTGGCATGGGGGCGATGGGGGGCGATGGGGGGTGGAAGAAAAGCAAGCTAATGTTGTATGGGAAGGGTTTGGAAAAGTGTTTTTGTGTTTTGTTTGCCTGGTTTTTTGTTTGGGTGTGTTTGGGCGTGTTTAGGGTTTAGGGTTTAGGGTTTAGGGTTGTCTCCGGGTTCCTTGGGGTCTTAGGCGCTGGGAAAAGGGAATGTTTCGATTCTGCTTTTGCCCAACAGAAGGTCAGCAGTATCGGTCGCAGAGCTGGCCAAGCCTTTGAGATTTGGACCAGTTGCCCACGCAGAAAGCTGAAACATGTAGATCCTGCCGGGTGGACTTGCCCGAAGGGTCAGAATAGTTGCCGCGCACGTGCCGCCCAAGGTGGTGGCAAGTTGGCTGTTCAGGTTCCCCTGACTTGAACATGTCGAGCCTTAAAGCGCTGCGATACATATGCTGATGCGTAAGACAGAGCAAGCTCACCCATCTTTGTTTCGCATCCTTCGCGAGCATAGATGAGACCTTTGGTTCATGGCCGCAGCACAGACTGTTGCCACGCTGCACCGACACGTGACTAAGGGCAGGTGTTGGTTTCTGCCTTGGCGTGCTCCGACGGTGTGGACGCGAGGATGCACGCACTTGGATGGTTGGAGACTATGGACGCGTCCAGAGCTGGCAAACCACTTGCACTCCAACAGGGCCATCGACACTTCCACAGCAGGACGCTGTGAGGGAAAGTTTGAGAGTCGCGCTCTTCAGCAAGTGGCGGGATAGCGCAAGAAGAGACGCAAACTGCGGACAGGCTTGCCCATATGCTGCCAAACGCAGCGCTACAGCCAGAAAGGCTGCTATACTGTCGGCACACCGTCCTGCCGTGCTCACCGGGACTGCCATCAGCCCTGCGTGCTACAGGCAGATGGCGAGAAGAAAACCTGCCGAAGACCCATGCGTTGAGCAGCTTCGGGTCTGTACCATTCCTGACGATCAAGCCCACTGGGCACACATCACTTGGAAATTCGAGGGCGCTCACCGGTCGTCTGCTTGCGCGGAGCTTTTATCCAAACCACAATGCGTGAGCTTGCTTTGTTTGTGCGACTGCTGCATTGCATCTTGTGCAAGGACAGCGCATGGTATGTGCTTGATTAGTTTGTTTGCTGGCACAGTGCAACTTGTGAGAAGCACTTTGAGTTCCTCTCTCTTTTGCAGTTGTGCCTGCATGCCTGCATGCCGGCTGTTTAGTCCTACTTCGGTGAGACGCTGCTGCCACAATCTATATGTTTTTTTCGTGCCAACGCAATATCCATGTTTTGCGTCAGGCATCCCTGGTCGACCCAGCGACTCCGACACTTCTCACTGTTGCTTGTGAGAAGCTGAGGACGATTCATAAGGTTTCCCTTTGGTAGCACAGCTCATGATGTTTCCTTTCTCAAATGGGTACCCAGCTCCCTAGGCCTTGCCCGCGCAATTTGCGGACTTACTGGGAACTTGAGCTCTCGACTAGAAGCAAAGTGTCGCATGCTGATCTCTCCGACTTGCTGTCCTCTTAAATCCTAATCTCCTCGTGGCATTTGCCCTTGGGTTTTTGCCAGTGGGCCGGCGGGAAATGGCCATTTCCCCCCAAATCATTATGAGGTTCTTGAGGGGGGGATGTAAGAGGGGGGGATAAATGGGGGTGGACTAGGAAGCCTCAGAAAACCCAGCCCCTCCCTGAAGAACCCCATAAAATAATATGGCGGACCTCGGAAAAGGAGCCGGACTGGGCGGACTGGGCGAATGCCTTGGCTCGAAAGGTACAGCAGCGGCTCCAGCTGAGCGCCTTCCGCTCGGCACCTCGGACAATCCACTCGCTCGGTTCTTCGAGTCCCAGAAGTCCCATGCTTCGCTTCGTTTCTGTCGTTGGTTGGTTTGGTCGGTCCAAACGTCGGGCGGTTGTTTGGCTGTTTGGTTGATCTTGCTCTTTTGCTTGCTTGGTTGGTTGGTCGGTCGGTCGGTTGGTTGGTTGGTTGGCTGGTTGGTTGATCGGTCGCTCGGTTGCTTGCTTGCTTTGTTGATGGCTTGCTTTTGTTTGTTTGCTTGTGTGTTTGTTTGCTTGGTTTTGGTTTGTTTTGTTTTTGTTTGCTTTGTTGTTGTTTGTTTGTGTCTGTGTCTGTTTGTCTGTCTGCCTGCCTGCTTGCCTGCCTGCCTGCCTGCCTGCTCGATTTTTCTATTTGGTTTGATTTCATTTGACTTGACTTGATTCGATTTGATTGAATGATTCATTGATTGATTGATTGATCGATTTGATTTCATTTGATTTCATTTGATTTGATTTGTTTGATTTGATTTGATTGATTGATTGATTGATTGATTGCTTGATTGATTGATTGATTGATTGATTGATTGATTGATTGATTGATTGATTGATTGATTGATTGATTCAGTCATTCATTCATTCATTCATTCATTCATTCATTCATTCATTCATTCATTGATTGATTGATTGATTGATTGATTGATTGATTGATTGGATTGATTGATTGATTGATTGATTGATTGATTGATTGATTGAATTTGATTTGATTTGATTTGATTTGATTTTGATTTGATTTCATTGATTGATTGATTGATTGATTGATTGATTGATTGATTGATTGATTGATTGATTGGTTTGATTGATTGATTGATTGATTGATTGATTGTTTGATTTATTGATTGATTGATGGATTGATTGATTGATTGATTGATTGATTGTTTGATTTATTGATTGATTGATGGATGGATGGATGGATTGATTGATTGATTGATTGATTGATTGATTGATTGATTGATTGTTTGATTTATTGATTGATTGATGGATGGATGGATGGATTGATTGATTGATTGATTGATTGATTGATTGACTACTGGATTGATTGAGTTATTGATGTATTGACTCATTGTTCCATTGAATCATGGATTTAGAATTTATTGATTCATTGGTTCATTGTTTCATTGATTCATTCGTTCATTGATTCATTGATTGATTGGTTCATTGTTTCATTGATTCATGGCTTCATTGTTTGATGGATTCGTTGATTCATTGCGGTCGTTCAATTGGTTCATTGATGCAGTGTTTTGATTGGTTGACTGACTGACTGACTGACTGGCTGGCTGACTGATTGGTTGGTGGGTTGATTGTGTTGCTTGTTTGGTTGCGTGCTTAGGATCCCCCCCTGTACACTAGTATTGAAAAAGGTAATGAAACAAATACTAAAAAGGACCAACAGGGAGAAGAACTGGGTGAAATCCCCAAGCAACGCCCGCAAACCGTTTTCTAGATTGGTTGTTTGGTTGCTTCGGTGGTAGATTGGTTGGCTGGCTGGTTGGCTGGTTGAGTGTGTGTGTGTGTTATGCTTTCGGTGCTGGGTGAATTTGTCAAAAGGGTGGCCGCACAGATGGTCCATTTAGACTTGTTCTGTCAAAGTACAAGGACGTCACTGATTCGGGGGTGAAGCGAGGTCCGCTTTCCTTGTTTCATCGTAACTTGACCGCCCCTATTGCTATTGGCCAAATGTATGCCCCCCTGAAAGTGTAGATTTCACCTTTGGGATGCTACACCGGTTCCGAGCGGGACCGCCCAGATTCGAAAGGGAGGAGTGATTTTACAGTTGGTTATTGGCCTCACATGGGCGGCTTTCTCCCTTTTGGTGTCGCAAGGACACCCATTCAACGGCTAGCCAAAAAGAAACCAGGGCCCCAAAAAGCGCCGTTGGTTTTAGACAACACACAACTGAACAAGTAGCTGGAGCTGCCTGGAACTGAAGGTAGCATTAATGAGCTACGCTGTGTTACGCCTTGCACCAGGTGGGCCTAGGATGGCCCACGAAGAAAGTTGAGGTTCCCATTTTCACTGGGTTAGAGTTTTTGGGAAGACCATTTTAATGGCAAAAACAAGTTAGGACCTCTTTTGACCAATCCACTCAGGAATGGGTCTATAGAAACCGAAGATTTGGTCGAACGATCAGTTGGGTGCGTGGCTCAAAAGAGCGGAACCCCTATGGGCCCTATGGGTGGCTTTCCTGTTGGTGTGCCTTGCCCTCAAAACATATACACCTGGTTTTTGGGCCTGGGGCGTTTGGCTCACTGGCCAGGTGGAGGGGCTGAAGCAGGTGGTGCGCGCCCTGATGCCTGCTGGAAGAAGGTGATACGGGCCTACCCGTCACGGGCATAAGAATAGGGACAACTTCTGCAAATAAGCAAACGGCATTTGCATGCCATCTGAAATAATTCTTAGACTCAGACAGATACCCCTTGGCAAGTGGTAGTCTCCATAGCTCCAGAATTCATACGAAATGCCCTTGAACCCCGGTCAGTGGCACCCTTTCCCCGTTAAGTCCCTCACCATAAATCGTGAATCCCATTCTCATTCGCCTCGAACTCGTTTTGTTGGGTTGCGTTTTGGGGCCTCGCGACTCAGACTTTGGTGAAACTCCCCTTCAGGCAACGGAGGTCTCTCCCTTGGTCGCAAAACATGCACTCGTTCACATCTTCTTTGGGACCACAAATCCGAGTTGGGGTCTCCAAGCTATTTAGAAGTAACCTATCCAACATAGCAGTGGTAGACCCCATTCACCACGAGCATTCTGAAACAAATGCACTATCAGCTCAGTTCAGCGGATGAATAGGCTGCAATGAAGCGAACTCTCTCTGGTCCAAAACCGACCTTTTGGCCTTTGATGTTGCAGCATTGATTTGGAGATTCAAGATAGGGGGACCTCCAAAATTGTTTTTGTCTTCTGGTTTACCTCTAAGCCAACTTGGGTATCCTAAAGACACATCAAGTTTTAGTCATGTGTTCAAAAGGCTGTCTCATTCCCGAAAGAAAATCTCCAAGAGAGGGATCTCTCTTTTTCTTCGCTGACCCTATCTACAGCTCATTCCACGAAGATGCTACGGTGTTTTTCTCTATGAGTGACCCGGCCTTCTGTTTCTCGAGGGACAAGAGGGAAGGCAAGACCAACACCGATTTGGGTAAGTGAAGGTAAGGGGAGAGGGGTGGGTCTTAGTGAACCGAGGCCACAAAGTTTGGAAACATGGCAAGATGCAGTGCTCCTTGTGGAGTTGGTTGATAGCATGTGAGAGGGTGTTGTTTGGGAGGTGGTTCCCTTTTGTTGTCTACCTTTGAAGCGAGGCTGGACGTGGGAAGGCCGTCTTTGAAGCTGCCTGCCCACATCAGCGAAGCCCGCGTGCTGCGTGATATGGATTACCTGGTCACTGCCATGAACGTGGGGCATCTGCAGCCTGAGGATCAGGACATGTGACTGCACTGGTCTGAAGGGGGGGTCCGTGCATCCAAAACCTCAGCCCCAGTGACTAGGTCGCCCAGTAGTGCCCTTTCTGACCCCTTTTTTGGGGGAGGGGTTCCGCTACTAAAACAGACTACAGAAAAAAAAGGTACCCTAATTCTAACCTCTTTATTGGAGGACCTAGGTGAAATTTGAAGAAAACCACTACCTGATTCTTATCTGGTGGTACTGGTTTCTGCTCCCTCCGTTTGTACACGGTGGGTTTCCTCAGTGGATCAAGTAGAAGTATTTGGTAGGGGGAGGCATGTTGCTGAGTGTTGAGCAGTGCTGCCTCGCGTGAAAGCATCCGACTAGCAGCTGCGTGTAACAGGGGGCCTCTTTCAAGGACCTGTATTTCGAGGCAGCTAACAAGAAGCCAACACAATCCTCTTGCTTGGAGAAGAGAACCCTCCAAAATGAAAAGGGGTGTTTCGCTTGCAACCACAGACCTATCGCTTGCAATCTCTGAAACTTCATCCGTATTCATCCTTCGTACAAAGAACATGCTTCAGACCTTTCCTTGGCAGGGCACAAGCCCTCGGACAATACATTGTTTGGGACTTTCGAGCCGGCAATATTGCAACTGCAGGTAGCAGCTGTTTCTGGTTGGTCTACTTTCAAGGCAGGCCACAATATTGCCTGTTCATTTGACGATTGGCTTTCAGTTTGTCAATCCTGAATTTGTGTCTTCGGAGCCAAGAGGATGTATGCAGGTTCTATTGCAGGGGGTTCTTCGATTGCCCTGGTCCCTGGCATTGGATGGAATCAACTTTCATGCCATGTGTTCCTAGACTGGAGGTGATACTGCATGTTTAAAGGGAGCACTGCTTTGGATTACAACTAGCCGTGTCTCTGTCGTTCCATGTCTGAAGGCAAGGGCCATGCTCGAACATCTCTTCGCCTTGGTGCAACTGTATTTATGTGCAGCGAATCATCTGTATTCGCTTTTGGATTGTGACGGTTTCCGACCACGTTGATCAATCCGGTCGATCACTTTGATGGGGCAATGACTGCTGACTGCTTCTCGAACCGGCAAACAAGTTGGGACTCTCTGCTGGAAGTTGAAGGCCAACCCAGTTTTCTCTCAAGCCTTCGGCGCAGAGCTGCCCACGTTAGGAGAAGGTGGTAGAGCGGTACAAGCACTTCGAGGCCTGATCGACCGCTAGAGATTGGATGAACAAGCTAACAGGTTTCTAAACCAGTTGTGGAGACCCTAATTTGTTTTGGAGGTTCCATGGCTAACAGCAATGGTGTCAATTTCGAGTTTATGACTCAATTCTGTCGCGGCAACTCCAGGTATCCATCCCCCTCCTTGGGAAGGTGTGGGGGTCTCGCGCCGATGACGCGAACTTTTCCCGGAGAGTCGCACAGGAATTGGAAACGCTTTTTTTTGGGCGATCTTGGATCAAGCGATATATTGAAACCGAGAAATGTGGGTGAAAGGAATTGGAAGCTCAGTGTTCGTTGGCTATGTCGGCTCACGAAGAAATGTGTTTCTATATATATAGATGATGTATATATATATATGTATAGTTGTATGTAATGTATGTAATGTAATGTAATGTAATGTAATGTAATGTAATGTAATGTAATGTAATGTAATGTAATGTAATGTAATGTAATGTATGTAATGTATGTATGTATGTATGTATGTATGTAATGTATGTATGTATGTATGTATGTATGTATGTATGTATGTATGTATGTATGTAATGTATGTATGTATGTATGTATGTAATGTAATGTAATGTAATGTAATGTAATGTAATAATGTAATGTAATGTAATGTAATGTAATGTAATGTAATGTAATGTAATGTAATGTAATGTAATGTAATGTAATGTAATGTAATGTAATGTAATGTAATGTAATGTAATGTAATGTAATGTGTAATGTAATGTAATGTAATGTAATGTAATGTAATGTAATGTAATGTATGTATGTAATGTAATGTGTAATGTATGTATGTATGTATGTATGTATGTATGTATGTATGTATGTATGTATGTATGTATGTATGTATGTATGTATGTATGTATGTAATGTATGTATGTATGTATGTATGTATGTATGTATGTATGTATGTATGTATGTATGTATGTATGTATGTATGTATGTATGTATGTATGTATGTATGTATGTATGTATGTATGTATGTATGTATGTATGTATGTATGTATGTATGTATGTATGTATGTATGTATGTATGTATGTATGTATGTATGTATGTATGTATGTATGTATGTATGTATGTATGTAATGTATGTATGTATGTATGTATGTATGTATGTATGTATGTATGTATGTATGTATGTATGTATGTATGTATGTATGTATGTATGTATGTATGTATGTATGTATGTATGTATGTATGTATGTATGTATGTATGTATGTATGTATGTATGTATGTATGTATGTATGTATGTATGTATGTATGTATGTATGTGTATGTATGTATGTATGTATGTATGTATGTATGTATGTATGTATGTATGTATGTATGTATGTATGTATGTATGTATGTATGTATGTATGTATGTATGTATGTATGTATGTATGTATGTAATGTAATGTAATGTATGTATGTATGTATGTATGTATGTATGTATGTATGTATGTATGTATGTATGTATGTATGTATGTATGTATGTATGTATGTATGTATGTATGTATGTATGTGTATGTATGTATGTATGTATGTATGTATGTATGTATGTATGTATGTATGTATGTATGTATGTATGTATGTATGTATGTATGTATGTATGTATGTATGTATGTATGTATATGTATGTATGTATGTATGTATGTATGTATGTATGTATGTATGTATGTATGTATGTATGTATGTATGTATGTATGTATGTATGTATGTATGTATGTATGTATGTATGTATGTATGTATGTATGTATGTATGTATGTATGTATGTATGTATGTATGTATGTATGTATGTATGTATGTATGTATGTATGTATGTATGTATGTATGTATGTATGTATGTATGTATGTATGTATGTATGTATGTATGTATGTATGTATATGTATGTATATGTATGTATGTATGTATGTATGTATGTATGTATGTATGTATGTATGTATGTATGTATGTATGTATGTATGTATGTATGTATGTATGTATGTATGTATGTATGTATGTATGTATGTATGTATGTATGTATGTATGTATGTATGTATGTATGTATGTATGTATGTATGTGTATGTATGTATGTATGTATGTATGTATGTATGTATGTATGTATGTATGTATGTATGTATGTATGTATGTATGTATGTATGTATGTATGTATGTATGTATGTATGTATGTAATGTATGTGTATGTATGTATGTATGTATGTATGTATGTATGTATGTATGTATGTATGTATGTATGTATGTATGTATGTATGTATGTATGTATGTATGTAATATGTATGTATGTATGTATGTATGTATGTATGTATGTATGTATGTATGTATGTATGTATGTATGTACGTACGTACGTACGTACGTAGGTATGTATGTATGTATGTGTGTATGTATGTATGCATGTATATAAAACAAATATGTTTCTATGTTCGAAAGCCGGGGGTTTTGGGAATTTGGGATGGCTTCAGGTCTTCTTCTCAGATCTCTGGGACTGGCGAGCTGGGGCTGACTCCTTGCACGTGCTCTACGAGCTGTGGATGAACGCGCCCAAGATGCACGCGGAGGCCGTGGAGGTCTTCCAGGAGAGTCGCTTGGGTCGTGCACAAGTTTCCCTCGTTGGGGTTTTTCAATCATTTCCGGGTTGGGTATGTTTTTTTTTTTTGTTTGTTTTTTCTCAAATGTTTGAAGAGTTCAATATTTGGATGATGATGATGATGATGATGATGATGATGGCGGTCATAAGTGTTTCTTTTGAAATGTTAAACTGTTCATTTATGGGGTTGTTTGACCCATATAATTTGGGGATGGTTTCAGTTTCCCTTTGGTGGTGTGATATTTGAATGGGACATATATAAAGAACCCTGCCACCTCGCTGAAATTAAGGTGCGCAAAGTAGGAGGCTCATCAATCACAACAGAGGCCCGCAGCGACAGGTTTCCAATGGGCGCTTTACATTGTTCAACCAAATCCGAGCCTGGGATGTAAGAAGCGAGGGACAAAGCAAGCCGACCATTTTTGTCGTTGTTGTCGTGTCACCATCTCCGGAAGGTCTTCATGACAACTTTCGGACACATGGGGGTGACCTCCGTCTGGAACGTGGAGCCCCTGTTGTGTTTTTTGGGTTCCATGTTGTCCATTCCAATCATTTGGGCTGCTTCAAACCAGCATCCGAATCAGGTTCCATGGTGGAGGTTGCTTGGGACTATGACTTTGTGAGCAGTGCCCCAGACATTGGCCATTGGCAGGTGGTTCGGGGTATGACCTGACTCCTGAAAAGCCATGTTAGAACCACAAGTCAATGCGTGAAACGGGCGCTGCTCTTTCGCTGGTTTTGTTTTTCCCAAAAGGAAGCCAGAAGGGGAAGGTTGATTTGCTTGTTCCATTTTTTGCAGACCTTGCAGACCCCTCCCCCCCACCTCCCATTTACACTCCCTCCAATTAACATGGAACCCGACCGGAGGGTCCTGGAAGACCATTTTCCGTTTAGATCTAGAGGGACCCGCGAACGTCAGGTTCCATATTAATTTTGTGGGAGTGTGACAAACACCCAGTTAAAGGTCACGTGGCCGTGGGTCAACACCAAAGGTACTATGTTGGGGTAGGTGCACCACCCATTTTAGAACCTCTTTTAGTGGTTGGATTGGGATGTTCACTGGGGACAACCGTGGTTTTGACCCATAGCCATGTAGGCTCCCGGCTTCTTGGTTTGCGTTTTCTCGAGGAGGGCCAAAGCTGGCAGGGCTCCTACTACTGCACCCAGGGCCGCACGGAGTTCCGACTGGACATCACCGAGAAGACGCCGAGAGGACAGGGCTGGATACCCCTGGCCGCTACAACACGTTTGTCTAATCGTTGCTGCTTTTTGCATGGATGTTAGGACTTTAACTTTTTTGCCAACTACTGGGTTTTCCAGAAAATCACCAAAAGTTAAACTTTTAGCAGGGGAGCAGAAAGCCACCGAGAAATTGAGAAAGTTCTCCAAGGCGTTTCGTCAAAGGTTGCCATGATTTTGACTGGGGGTGGAAGCCTGGGGTTTGGCTGTTCCAAGATGACCTAAGGTTTGGACCAGTGGGATGCATTGGGTCTGTCGAAGTCCGAGCGAGCGGATTCAGGTTCCGAGAGCCCGGAGCAGGTGAGGGCGGATCTGACCTTCACCATCGTCAAGAGCAGCGGCTTGGGCTGAAAACAGTCCATTCCCGGCTTCCAGATCCGGTTGACCGGAGTTGGGGTGTTTCAATTTGTTGGGGGACTCCAAGATGGTGGGTTTCTTTTGGTTTTCCTACCGAGAAGAACAACCACAGTTTCCCCAAAGCGACGCAGACACACACAGAGATACAACTATGACAACATCAGGTAAGCATGTTCCATGATCATCCATGTTGCTTAACAATATGTGTGTTGCGTTCCCCTGTTGGCTGGAAGGGACCAATGACATGAGTTAAAAACCCATGTGAAAACTATGCCTCAAGAAATTGAAGATGAAAACCATGGAAAACCCGTGCTGTGGGAGGATTGGCTGATATTGGTTGGGACGGAATTGGGGTGGAGCTGGGGACTCTGAAAGAGCTTTTATTGTGTTTGGACGGGTTTGGACATGTGTTGAAGGTTTTCGAGGCTGGGCATTTGAGCGGAACACAACCCGCGTGTTTTTTGGTTGTTGCAGAAACACAAAACAAGGGCAGCGAGTGGGTCCTCAGTTTCAGGAACCTCCCTGCTCCAATATGGGAGAGAATTTAGGTCGAGGTAGGGACTTTGAAGTACATTCCGAAGGGCTTGGGACAGGATTGAAGAGGGTTCGAGGAAGGCGGCATATACGTTCAATAATATTGGCCATTGCTCTTGCCTTGAAACCCAGCACTTGCTATGAAGACTTGTTGTGCAGGGCCCAAAAGGGTGTTTGTGTTGTGCCCAAGGAAGGAGGAAGCTTGCACGTATACATTGAGCATTGTTTGTTTGCTTGCTTGCTTGCTTGTTTGTTTGTTTGTCTGTTTGTTTGTTTGTTTGTTTGTTTGCTACAACTGGTAGCAACTAGCCTGGGCTTATTCTTCTGATATGGTCTGGTTCGTTTCGTGCCACTTGAAGAGGGGTAAGATGATGATGTGATTCCCTCCCCCCCAACCCCCGCCCCAGCGGGGGATATGTTTAGATATGAAATCCATCTATCTAACTTATCTGGAGAACAAACACATGTTGTGGGTGTGCTGTCACAATATCATGTGTGGTGTCCTTTCTGAAGATCAATCAGACTGCCACGAATTTGCCGAACAGCTGACGGCAAGAAAACGACTCAGGGCCGATAGCGTGAATGCGGCAGAAAAGGCATGGCTCTAAGAATGCTCAAACTGCAATCTCATCTGGGTGAATTATAACGACCTCACACGACCTCACCCCAAATGGTGGTTTCTGTGGGGAATAGCCCCCAAACCACCTTATGTCAGGCTGGTGAAATATTATAATTCAGATCTCATGAGGATCTGGAATGTTCAGGGCATCTTTGGCTGGCTGTTCCTTTTCAGGATTGTTGCTCAAATATGCCATGCTGCAAACCGCATGATCCAAGTTCCCCGCTCCAACGTCAAAAGCTCGGACCGAGGCGGCAACGTCACCGGGATCTACGAGGTGACAGGAGCGCTGAAGCTGTTGCACTTGAAACATGTAGGTCAGACCGAGGAGTCCCTGTAGGTTTGCCTTCCGAACCTACCCTCTTGTGTTCCCTTTGTTGATTGTGCCTCCCCCCCATGTTTGCATGTCTCCCCTGATAATCCCACAATCAACACGTATCCCCCCCCCCCCCCCCGGGCACCCGTTCACACCAAGATCCCCTCCAGCAAATCTGTTGGGGAAATCCCCATGAAGTCCCAATCGGCAGTGGAATGGGTACTATTTCTTTGTGCCTTTGAGGGGATCCTTTGGGCTCGCTCTTCTTGGTTTAGGGCGTTTGGAGATGTCCTGTTTTTTTTCCTGTTGGTCGGCGCGAAACGCGCAGCTCATTTTTGAACGTGTTCCCGGATATGACAATGTCCCTGTGGAAAGACAATTAGGCGAGGTCCTAAAGTGTAGATCCCCCGACAAGACGACAGTCCCTAAATTTGCCACCCTCTCACATATATTTGAGCAGTATAAAATGCCCTCGTGGCATTTCAGTTGAGGTGGTCCCACCTCGTTTCCCGGGGAAATATTTGCTGCAGATGTTGAGTCTTCCCTGAGGCTCGTAAGCCCCCAATGAGCCTTTTTCCTCTTCGGAAGATGAGACCACGAAGCGCAAAGCAACATGGCTGTGGCTCAAAAAACCGGTACCGAAATGGAACCCTGGTAAGTGGAAACATGGACCAAAACCTGCATAACCCCTCCTGTTTGATTTTGAGCCACACCCACCATCTAAACCAAAGCATCACTCAGGTTGCCGCTCTTAGGACAGCTGGAGCCTTCTGGCCGCGTGCTGATCCTGGAGCCGGTGCCGGACTCCTGGAAGGCCATGCGAGTCTTTTACGCCAAATCCAGGTCCAGCGATCGGTGCCCTTTCTCACCCCTTTGGTTGGGAGAGTTCCCCTAAAATAGACTACAGAAACAAGGGCACCCTTATTCTAACCTCTCTACTGGAGGACCTAGAAAAGCTTGTGTGTGTTTTGCCTAGGGTACTTTTTGTGAGGCTGGGTGAGGTTGGAGTCGGTACGGCCCATGTTGAACGTTCTTTTGCAGGTACCCGTTTGGGGGTGGAAAATATTTGTTTAATCGGAGCCCCCGGCTTGGCACAAAGCCAGATATAGCGAGCATGTTCGTTGTTTTACCCAAAGGGAAACCAAATGGGGATGTTTTGTTGTAAAAACCAAACCATGGACATATTTACAGCAGGCACCAGTTGGCATAGATGCATTTTGATTTGGATACAACCAGCAGATCAGACCCTTGGGTTCCAATCTGGTTCCAATCGATTGCACAACATGCGTGTATCCCACTGATTCAGAACGCATGGGTCACCCAATTGGGTGCTAAATACAGTGGACAAAAAGCCACGCCCACTAGTCGGATTGGTGGCTTATCAACCAGTATTCCACAAATCGGGCTTGATCCATCGCAACTTGCGCGAAGTGGAATTTGTCCGTCCACAGCAACAAGGATGTTGATTTTTCCCACAACAAAACGGGCAACAGACTTGAGTCACATTGAGAGTATCTCTCAAGGGCCAAACATGTTCAAATCCTTGGTATCAACTTTAAAAGAAGGCACCTTGGCTTTGCGGCACCGTCCCAAACAGAACCGGCCGCGTTTTTCACTCCAGACATCACGCTGTCCAGCTCGCTTTGCAGGCGCAGCCCAAGAACTTCGTAATGGCCTTCTGGTGGCAAACTGGGGGGCGCGAGGGACTTCTAGGTGAGCAGCGCACAAGACCGGCTCTCGTACTATATGAGCACCCAACTCAAAACGGGGTCGAACAAAGGACAACTCCTCTAGGAATGAGGACTTTCTGGGTTCACTGTTCATTTGCAGATTAGTGGCCCGAAGCCTGCACGGACACATAGCTGTTCGCTGTGTTGGGATGCCAGACTTGTGACGGAATGCACAAAAATCCTGAAACTCAAGGAGTGTTTTCCTTTGGGCCTCTTCGAGGTCAATCCTGACGACATGTTTATGATCACCTGATGCAAAGGATATCTATCGGGACCTTGTGGAATCTCAGAAACCACATCTTCTACCTCGCTTTTGGGGTAATTCAAGTGCGAATTCGGGGGTACCACATCGCTTCCCTTTGGCCCTTGGGCAATCAAGCCACACATGGAAGTTGCTTCGTTCTATAGCAACATCCAGGGGTCCCCAACTTCAAGACACCCGCATGTTCATGTTAACAAATGCAAAGTTTAATTTGTCTTTCTTGAGTTGTGCTTTTCAGATTGGTTTAAAGGGGAAACCAAAAAAACATAAGCATCCTTCTGGGGTCCCCCCTGGCCATGTCCGGGTCGGGCAAAGCTCAGCCAGAACCGAGCCCCAGCTGATGGTCTCGTAAGCGAAGGCAGCAGTTTGTGACTTAAACTGCGTGTGGCGAATGGAATGGAATGGAATCAATGAAATGAAGCAATGAAATGAATGAAATAAATGAAATGACATGACATGAAATGAATGAAATGAAATGACATGACATCAAATGAAATGAAATGACATGACATGAAATGACATGACATGACATGACATGAAATGAAATGCAATGCAATGCAATGCAATGGAATGGAATGGAATGGAATAATGAACGAATGAATGAATGAATGAATGAATGAATGAATGAATGAATGAATGAATGAATGAATGAATGAATGAATGAATGAATGAATGAATGAAATGAATGAATGAATGAATGAATGAATGAATAAATAAATGAATGAATGAATGAATGAATGAATGAATGAATGAATGAATGAATGAATGAATGAATGAATGAATGAATGAATGAATGAATGAATGAATGAATGAACGAACGAACGAACGAACGACTGACTGGATGGATGGATGGATGGATGGATGGATGGATGAATGAATGAATGAATGAATGAATGAATGACTGGATGGATGGATCTGGGTCTCATTTTCAGCGAGATCATCTTCTGAGGTGGGCACCCAGGGCATCGTGTCCAGCAGCGACGACGGCACGGGGCGCTCCGTGTACGCCGGCATGGTGCCCATCTACGGCTGCGACAGCTTCGAGCTCTTCTCGGAGGCCAAGTCCCCGGAGCGCCCACCGCTGTGGCAGACCCTGGGCAAAGCGAGTCAAAGCGTCAAAGCGTCAAACCTCTGGACTGGTTGAGCATGCTGGGGCACCCAACGGCAAGGGAAAGACACCATATATTTTGGGGGGTTCCACCTTTTCTTTGGAGAGTAGCAAATACCGGGCGTGGAAGTATAGACTCCTGCGTGTTTTTGCCGTTTCTTGACGGATGTTGTTGCTTGTGGATCATGCTTGTCTTGTGGCGCAGCTATGCGCGTGTGCGCGCATGCTTCCGTGGGTCTGGGCTCTGCTCGCCGAGGAACAATCCCTGGAACGGCGCCTTGCTCAGGCTGAGCCAGGCCATCGACGTGAATCGCCAGGTTTGGCGGAGAATACTGAAGAGGCTCATGGCCGCAGCTCGCCAAAAAGTTGCATCCCAAGCAAACAACACGTGTTCAAAAGGCCCAAACGGGTTGCGCCCCGCTGAGGAGAAGCCGGCCAAGGCCCAGAAGGTGAAGCAGATCATGGAGCTGACCCCCAAGGGCCTGGTCAAAGTGGAGGCCCGAGTTTTTCATTTGGCCTCAAACTCATGGCTGGCCTTTGGGTGTTGCCGAATCGAGCCTTAGACCTTTTGGCGAGACAGGGCTTTTCCATGACATCTGCAAAAGACTATGCCTAAGCCATTTGGCTGTGGTTCAGAACCGTTTTGAAACGTCCAGCATCGCCAATCCCAAACTTCACTTTTTTCAGTTCCTGAAGCGAACAAATGGCTGTGGGTCAAAACCAATGGTACCATTTTGGGGGTTTTCGGTGCACCACCCATTTTAGAACCTATTTTA